AATATTGGCTGGCAGTGATTTTTGCACCCTCAGTGGCACTGCATTAAAAAACAGACACAACTCTGTAGTGGAAATCACAGCACGGACCCAGAAACACTTTGGAAAAAAAATTGTCTGTGAACACAGTTCATCACTGCATTCACAAATGCAAATTAAAACTCTACCATGCAAAGAAGAAACCATATATAAATAGGATCCAGAAACTCCTCCCAATTCTGGGCCCAAGCTTATTTAAGATGGAGTGATGCAGAGTGGAAAAGTGTCCTGGGCTAAAGAAGAGAGGGACCATCCAGCTTGTTTTCAGCGCACAGTTTAAAAGCCAGCATCCATGATGGTGTAGGGGTGCATTAGTGCACATGGCGTGGGTGACTTGCATATCTGTGAAAGCATCACTAATACTGAATGATATACACAGGTTTTGGTGCAAAGATGCTGCCATCCAGGTGACATCTTTTTCAGGGAAGGCTGTGCTTATTTCAGCAAGACAATGACAAACCACATTCTGTATTACAACAACATGGCTCCGTAGTAAGGGTCAAGAGACCCTGAACTGTTAAGCAGCTGAAGTCCTACATCAGACAAAAATGGGAAAACATTTCACTTTCAAAACTACAGCAATTAGTCTCATCAGTTCCCGAACGCTTACAGAGTGTTGTTAAAAGACAAGGTGTTGCTGGAATTAAATTCAAAGTGGGCATTATATTTTACAAAAAGCAATAACATCTTTCAGTTTCAACCTTTGATATGTTTTCTTTGTACCATTTTCAATTTGAATTATTGGGTTGAGATTATCTGCGCATTATTGCATTCTGTTTTTATGTACATTTTGCACAGCATCCCAAGTTTTAAAACATATGTGCTAAATATATTTAACTGTGCAATTTTTGAACATTTAGATGTATGCCAACATTTGCAAATATATGTCAATATACTGAAATACATGCACATATGTATGAAATGTCTGTGAAATGGATTAAACGTGTCAAATGTTTGTATTTACACAAATGTCAAACATACATGGAAATATTACAAACTTCACACATATTTTGAAAAATGTGTAAATATATTTATGAGCAATGTTACTGTTTTTGTGAATATATGCTCATTTTGAAATTGATGTTTGCAACATATTACAAAAAAAGTAGGGATGGGGCAATTTAAGAATGGGAACCTTGTGAAATGTTCAAAAACATTTTAAAGCAGGTCATGGAATCATGCTGAGTGCAATCATGTTTGGGTGATATAGTAAAAGGAGCATCTAGAAAAGGCCTGATGTGTATGAGCAAGGACAGGTGTAGGCTAGCCACTTTGCCAAAAATGTGCAAATAAATAGTTTAAGAACAACGTTAGTCAACAAGCGATTGCAAAGATTATAGGTATTTGACTTTCTATGATACACATCATCAAAAGATTCAGAGAATCCCGGGGTATCTCTGGATTCAGACTTCTCTGGGCTCTTGCTCATGTAAAGCAGACTGATGCACATTGGAAACGTACTGTAGTATGATGAGCCACCTTTTCAGATTTTTTATTTAAATTATGAATGTTCTCTGGGCCAAAGACAAGAAGAGCCATCCAGATTGATACGAGTATAAAGTTCAAAGGTCAGGGTCTGTCATAGTATGGGCATGTATTATCATGCCCATGGGATGGATAACTTGCACATCTGCGAAGGCACCATTAGCACTGAAAGATATATACACACATTTTGGAGCAACGTATGCTGCCTTCTATGCTCCTTTCAGGGATGGCCATGCTTATTTCAACATGACAACAGCAAGCCACATTTTGCATGCAGTATGGCTGTGTAAGCAGAGAATGTGAGTGCTGGACTGCCTGCACTGTCTCCTATTGAAAATGTGCAGCGCATTATGTAGCATAAAATACGACAGCAGCAATGAAGACCCCATACAGCTGTGCAGCAGAAGACTTGTATAAAGGAAGAACGGCAAAAAATCTGCTTTCAAAACTGGATCAGTCTGTGTTTTCAGACCCCAAACAACTATCAAGTGTTGTTAAAAAAAAGGTAATGTGAAACAGTGGCAAACATACTCCTCTCCCAATTTTTGGAGCATGTTACAAGTATCAAATTTGAAATGGGTGTGTGTTTACAAAAACAAAACAAAATTTACTAATCACTGTTTTCTGTTTTTTTTTTTCTTCAGCATCTCACATACTCTCCCAACATAGGCTATGTTTTGTTCCTGTGTACACAGAGGCCTGCTAAGCGCTATAAAGTGTTTTCAGTTCAAAGCAAAGTGAGAACCCTTATGTTCACTGTAGATTATTTCCTTCCTGTTTCCTCTAATTAGTGTGTTTTCCTTAATAGGCTGTCTACACAAACCCTTGATATGTTATGTAAACCATTTCATATGAGGTTAATAAAGTGGCATGGAGTGCAGATCTAAGACGAACCCTGATTTACTGAAGACTTTCAAACAACACATTTGATCTTTAATAAGCTCTTTCTGTTAGTTGTTGGTGTTGTTAGAAAAGATAAAAAAAAAACACAGTGAGGCCGTATGGACATGTCTCACTCTCTGCTGTAAATAGCATCAACACAAAGTTAGATTAGTGATAGAATGTCACCTGGGAAGTCGCATGAGTTTAAGGAGGTGGTAATCTGAGAGACCTGAACAAAAGATACCTACACATAAAATGATCTAAGCTATCTTCCTACAAATAATCACAATTAAAGCCGTCATAGGATCATTTATTTCTATTCAATCAAACTACAGTGCAAATCAATCAACAAAGCGCAAACATCAGCATTTAGAAGCAGTCTGACATTAATCTGTTTAAATTTTCTATCCTTACTTTTAGTTTTAGCCAGAAAACACCCAAATATTCAGTTGCAGACTTTAAATAATATGGCCAGAGATGCTAATCAATAGACTAAGACTAAAGACTACAAGGCAGCTCAAAGAGTGCTAGTTAACACACGATTACGGCACGACAGCTTTCAGACAATGACAAAGAATATTCCTAACATGGCAGAAAAAAAGAAGTAACTGAAGACAAATTCAAAGTAACTTTCCCTCTTCGTTCAGATGTTTAGTCTACATCTCCTGCTGTATAGCACCATCTACTGTTCAAAACTGTAATCTTAAGTCTTAAGTTGGGCCTGTCATATGCTAGATTTATCAAGTCGTTTCTTGTAAGCACATTTTCTTATTTCTGCAGTCACATTTAGCATTGCAGTCATTTGTACAGCTCATATCACTACTTTTGTTGTGAAGGTGGTCTTCAAAATGAGCTACAGAAATTAAAAATGATGACCAAGTCAGGACATTCTCAAACATGGCCTAGGTTGTCAGCCCACTGGCTGGTGTCAACACTTTCCAGACCAGTGATGCTAAATGGCATCACAGTTTGCAATAATCATGTTTACATTTACTGTCACATGTCAACATTACCTATGTTGATAGTTAACATCGACAAAATATTTAGCTAATGGTGGGGAACTTCTGTCAATCACATCATATTTGAGGACGGTTATGTTAACATTTAAAAGAATTTACTTTTGATAATGTTTCGCATGTCTGTATGCTGTTAACAGTGATGCCAAATGAAGAACATCGCTCAATATCGCTTATATTTTTGAAGAAAAGAAAATAATTCAATTAAATAATTTCTGCAACAAAACATTCTATGAAGCCATTCTGTGTAGACATTCTATAAAGCCATTTGGGAGAATGACTTCCAGTGATGCCAAATGGCAGTGGTTCCAAACCCCAGTCCTGGAGTACACCCTGCCCTCCACAATTAGTGTTTTCCCTGCTCCCAACATATCTGATACAACTAAAAAAAAGTCATGTCCTAAAGGGCTGGATTCCTGCAATGTTTTGTGATTTTCCTGCTCAATCTGTTGTCTGTATCTGTTGTAATCTGTTAATTATTAAGTGTGCCAGACAAGGGAAATCACCAAACTTTGCTCAACTCTGGCCCTCAGTTCCCCACTTTTGCTCGAGATAAGTGTTTTTCAACCCTGGTCCTGGAGGCCCACTGCCTTGCACTTTTTAGAGTTTTCTCTGCTCCCAACACACCTGATCCAACTAATCAGCTCACTCAGCCTGTTATTTAGTTAAAGAGGGTGTGTTAAAGAAGGAAAAGCACTAAAATGTGCAGGGCAGTGGGCCTCCAGGACCATGGTTAAGAAATACTGCTCTAGATGTTCATCTAAATTTTGAAAATGAAGAATGAAAAACTGCTCCCAGAGGAGATATGAAACTATTTTTCAGATGTTTCACACTGATTACAATAACAGAAAATACTACTATTACTACCACTAATAATAATTATAATAATAATAAAAATAGTATATTAAGATGTTGCTATTGCCATCGTTTTGAAATTAACATTCTAAATGCAGAATTCCCCATACTATAGTGCATACAATTTTTCTATTAAAAATATCTATTTTTTATTTTTCGTTTGAGCATCAAATAATATAGACTAGAAAGGGTTACCAAAATGGATAGCGTGTCTTCAATTATTTTATAACAATCTTTTCAAAAGCATATTTATCTACAAAACTGTAATTTAAAAAAAAATATTTTTAATTTTTAGTTGTCGTGGTAGAGAGAGAGAACCTACCTTTGTTTTTTTATTTTTTATTCCTAAAATGCGCTTTTACTGTCATGAATATCTAAAAAGCTTTTCACCATAGCAGCTGGACAATTGTCATGGCTAAAATTAGAAGCTAGAAGTTCTTGCTAAAATATAAACTGTGTAATTACGGCTAACATATTAGCAACAGCCATATGCGCTTGTTAGTGGACAAATTCAAATTTGAAATCGCTGAAAGGCACGAAAAAACCCAACCATAACGCTTGTGCTGCAGTTGTCCTGCACCGGTGCAGCTCTACACAGCGTGGGAGTTGAACTGCAGCGCTGCAGGTTTAAATTAATCAGTGCTCATCCGTGGCACCTGTTTCTGTCCGAATCCGACAGGAAACTTTGGAACTACATGCTCTTTTTCGTGGACGTGGAGAGTTATGAAGCTTTGCGCCTTTTTTTAATTTATGATTTCTCTACCATGCAGAAAACTTGTAAGAAGTATTTCGTGAACATGGACGAGTACCTAGCCAGCATCGGTTTGTACAGGAAGATGATGGCCCGAGACGCGTCCTGCCTCTTTCGAGCTGTTTCTGAGCAGGTATTCAAACAGTCGAGCAGACGGTTATTTGTTTTTGAAAACGGCTAGTTTGAAAAGAAATGTTTGGTTTTGCTTTCCAATCACGCCAAATTTCAGCATTTTCATTGTATATGTGGCAGTGTCTGCCAGAAAAAGCAGTTTTTTTCGGGTTCGTGGTAATATACTTAAAAATGGGTTTATATGTCGTTAGCTTTATTACTCTCAGAACTACCATCACAAAATAAGGAAAGACTGCGTCGAGTTCATGAGGGCAAACAGATGCAACTTCGAACCTGTGAGTAAAAGTCAACTTTTGGGCTTTGTCGTCAACGTTTGTCACGCCAGTTCGTTTTATAAGGTCGTGTTGTTATTTCTTGCAGTTCGTTGAAGGCTTTTTTGAGAAGTATTTGGAGCGTTTGGAGGATCCCAAGGTCAGTGTGCTTACGCTCATGCTTGAGGGAGGCGAACACCTCATCTGTCTGGCAGGATTTCTAACTCTTAATGTGTGACGTTGCTCTTCAATTCTGCCCTTAGGAAACTGCAGGCCAAGTGGAAATCAAGGCTTTGTCTCTGCTTTACAGGTAGTCTATGATTTTAGTGTGTGTGTGTGTGTGTGTGTGTGTGTGTGTGTGTGTGTGTGTGTGTTTTATACCTTCTTTTACAGTTCAGGTGAATTAAATCAATGTTTGCCAACCCACTTTTTTGGGGATCCTCATAGAGTCCACCTTTGGAAGACACTTTTGGCTAGTTTTTGGCAGTTTTTTTTTTCAAAGAAAAGAAGCCCCAGTACTGCAACGTTTTAGAAAATACTGCCTAGAAGTATAATGATTTATCTGTTGCCTTTTCTAAAGAACCCTTGAACAATTTTCAGGTTTCAGTTAAACAGGACTACTTATACATTTATAGTATACAGTTGATCATTGTGAATCTTATTGCTACTTAAAGTACAATGCTCAGAAAAGTATGTTGTGGCATAATTTTACAATACAATAAAATATCTTCATATTATCGTCAGCAACAACAGCTGTTTAATCTGTTTTTGTTTTCTCTCTGTGATATTCCTCTGGTAGTCATACAAATTATTTACTACCTAAGCAGAAGTTGTATGTTTACTTCATTTAAAGGTTAAACAGCTACTGTGTGTCTCACCTACACAGTTAAATACACATACAAACACAGTTAAGGCAGTCAGAGAGGGTTAGGTTGTGTTCTGTGATTAGCTGATTGGTCAAAAAGTCTCTTGTAGCATAATCTGGAAGGTGAGATCAATGGGCCTCGTTTACCTACCAGTCTTAAGGAGCAGTTCCTTCTTAAAAACCACATATGCAGTTTTCATCAAGATTCTGACTTCACCATTATTTTCTTATTTGGGATTTTTTTTCTTGGTTAACAGCAGAATCTATGCACACTGAACAGCAAAAGGTGCAAACAGTTCTGCGGTTTAGAAACACGTTATCAATCTGCATAGACTTTTTCTTAGAACCTTTCTCAGGAACAAATTCAAGAAAGAACTTGGAAAGGTATTGGTGAATGAGGCCCAATGAGTAAATATGTCTTTGCTAATGCATCTTCATGTACAAGGAATACAGAATCAAAGCTTTTGTTCCTCTAATGACAGTCACAGTGGCCTCAATGGGCCTCATTCACCAATTATTATTATTAAGAAGAAATTCTTCTTAAAACGCACTTATGCAGTTTTTGTGACTATTCTTTTTGTGACGTTCACCAATGTTTTCTTATTTGGGATTTGTTCTTAGGTAAGAACAGAGGCTATGCGCAATCAAGAGCACAAAGGTGTGAACAGTTTTGCGGTTAAAGAACATGTAATGAGACCGATGTAGACTTTTTCTTATAAGCTTTATCAAGAAGAAATTTAAGAAAAAACTTGGAAGATTTTGAATGAGGCCCAGTGCTTTTTCAATTTTGGTGAGTGACACTGTGATTGCTTGGCTTGTTTCTCACATGTAGCAATTTGCTTTGTCCATGTACTACATGCACACTAAGACACAATTTCATGCAAATCAGTATGGCACTAACCACAGAGCTTCGTTATGGCTAGAAAGTTGAAAACAAATCTGAATTATACAGAACAATCAAATATTAATTGTCTAAAGTGTGTGCACAAAATTGCGTGAGACCAGATTTCCTGTATGCTGGGCTTATATGGCCATATACCTCAAACTATGGAAAAACATGCAGGTAAATTACACTCTTAAAGAGTTCAAGGGTTCTTTAGTAAAGAAAATGGTTTTATATAGCACCCAAAAGGGTTCTTCTGTTATTGTTAATGTCAGGTTTGTAACGATAGAACCTTTTTGGTGCTATATAGAGCCTTTTTTAGTGCATTTTCCATCAATCTGAGGAACTCTTTCATGATGCAAAGAAGCCTTTAATCATGCAAACGAAACTAATAACTCTAATTTTTGGTGCATGATATTGTTAATGTACAGGTATGTTTATTTTGCTTAGTACAGCTTGTCAAAACATTGCAGTAGTGAAGCATGCCAACATCAATATGAGCTTTTGCAGTTATTAGGGTTCAGAGGATGCTAGAATAACAATTAATTTCTGTGTAATTTATAATTAATTTTGTGAATCTTGTAATGTAAATATCCTGTGTGTGGTGCAGGAGGTGCTTTGTCATTTACAGATACCCAGGGAAGCCGCCAACCAAGATTGGAGAAGATGACAGCTTGCCCAAGGTAATGGGAGGTTGACTGAAGTTTCCCATTTATTCAGTTTATTGAACTGGTTAGTGTGACAGCTCAGTAGCCAAGTCCTTGGTGTGCAAGACCTTCTTGGTTGGCGAGAAGTTCAAAAGCGCCTTGGGTTTATGCTTCTACCACCAGATGGTGCTTTTTTTGTAAAAGGTGGCAGTAAGGTGCTTTTTTGACTTGCTAAGTTTTAACACAGACAGGGGAGAGCATACTCAGCTTAATTTGACATTTTCCCAACTTGAGTAGAATCCTCAGTTAGTGGCATGATATGGACAGAATGTCTCATATTGAATCATAGAGAAGGCCCACTTAACCACGCAAAGAACCATTTGTGCACTCCAAAGGTACTTGGAGTGTTAACGGTTCTGTATAACATTATCTTTATTAAGACATACTTGTTTTATTCTTTTAAGTTTTAAAGGCTGCAGTTAAACAGGACTAAATATGCTTTTGACAGCTAGAAATACATTTTAATGCTCTAGGCTTACTGCAGCGATACAGATACCATTCAGAGATGATATCGGGAGATCAGCTAAAATTTTTGGAGGCTGGAAGAAGTATGAATCTGATCTAATTCTGAAATGGCACAGAATTTGGTTGGTTGTAGCACAAAAACATGAAATGAATAAGTTTGTGATAAAACTCAACATCATGACACCTATCAGTAACACCCAGCATTAATTTTAACCATTCTTCAATGAGTCAAGATGCGTCTCCAGTTTTTTAGGAGCCTTTGTTTATTCAGTTTTTCACTACTTCAGTGATGGTAACTTCTGCTTGCATTTCTATGGGATTGCAGTGTTGTATTAGCACCAAGCTTTTGATGTACATTCACTTACCCACACAGAGTTTATTACTTAAGACAGTTTTGCTGATATTTGTAGCTTGCACAATGTGACTAACATTCATTACTGTGTATGTTGCATGTATATTAGTTGGTTGTTAACGTTATATTCTTCAGTAGGACATATTTTAAAACGCTTTTGCGTTTTTTACTTCACGCAGTGTGAATGATGTGCATTCATACATTTTCTGCTATTCAGTGAAACAAAAAAGTGTAGTCATGCACTAATTTTTGTAGTTACTTTAATATGTAATCCCTCCAATGAACCTATGTACTTCATAGTATTAACTAGCTGTGCATTTAGAAGTCAAAATGTAGCAAAAATATTTAGTTTCATAAACATGATAATGTTTAATGGATAAATGTAAGTGTCTTTTTGGAGGTGTGTCTGATTTGATTGGCTCAATAAAAGGTTGAGCACTGACTTCTAAACAAGGCATATTTTGATATGTTCTCTTATAGGTAATAGTTGAAACTTTATTCATCAGGAATGAGGCACTAACAATATTTCAGCAGTTTTTTTTTAATGCCCTATGGGATTTATTTTGCAAGGGGGGCTGAAGGGCAGCGTTCTTCAGTATGGAGAGCTGATTCTGCAAGGTGCTGTGTATACAGTTGAGATTGTATTTAAAAACTCATCCTGCGATGTACAATGCAGACCTAACAAGTACTTTATGTATTTCAGATTTTGCTCTGTTGCTCAAGCAATGGTCATTATGACATTGTCTACTCAAGGGCCTATCCAGTGGATGCAGCAGTGTGCCAGTGTGAGTTTGGCAAATCCCATAAATCTCAAGTTCCACAGTCTCTAACCTGGGCTGTTCTTTCTGACTGTGTTATGGAGTATATTTAAAATATATATTCTGCGTTAGTGTATATAATGGTTATGTTTAGATGTCCCTATTTTTCTAGGCATTTGCAAGTGTAAGTGGAGTGAATGGGGTGAATCATGGTGGTAACGGAGCTTTGATTTTGTTTGTTTACAGCGCTTTTGTATGAATTGTTGTACACACGTGTTCTGGGCATTGAAGAGGAGGATCTGCATATGGCTCTGGATGGGTGTCGAGTGGTGGGGCGTCGGTACAGGAATAGCCTGTCTGTGTGCAGTGAGGAGGCTGGTTATGATACCCCTGAGGATAGGGGTCTGAGGTGTGCACATGTACAAACAGAAATTCAAGGCTATGTATTTCTGCCTGACATCTTGCATTGTTTTATTACTGTACCTCTTTTTCCAGTGAAACATAAAAAATTGTTCTGATTTGGTCCACAGAGGTGTGTGTGTGTGTGTGTGTGTGTGTGTGTGTGTGTGGTTTATTTATTTAATGTAACTAAAGTTTTGCATTGCTTTTGTAGAGAGGAATGGGAGCTTGGTGGTCATAACCGCACTGAGGATAAAGCCAAATTTGGAGCAGAAGACCAAAAAGTAATGAAAGCCAAAAAATAGAATGAAGGCTAAGAGATTTTGCCATTCTTCATACATATGTGTGACAAATAGGCCTCCTTTCCTTTAGGCTCCTGATGGATCAGCAAAGGTTGCTCTTCCCTACAAGGTACTGAAAGCCTTAGAGCCTGAAGTGTACCGCAATGTGGAGTTTGATGTCTGGCAAGACTGCCGCAAAGGTGAGGCAATTGAATGCAGGCCACTTTATTGCGCTCACATTATGGCATTATTTCTTGGAAAGTGATTTTGATTAGATGTCGACTTGAATCAGTTCCAGTTGAACCACAATTTGAATAGAACGTTCCATGTGACCAAATGGGACAACATAATGTTTAAAATTTGATCTTTGGGACAATACTTTATTGAGGCTTTAGTTTTGCATTATGGACAGTCATTGGCATCTTTCTTTTTTAATGAGAAATTAAGAGGATCCCCTGCACTGCTTTATTTCCCTGACCTTTACTCATGCAATTCAACTCAAAGGCATAAGAACTAGCTGAGAATACAATTTGGATGTTTTAGGGTGAGGGGGAAAATGCATACTTAAAGTGGGGAAATTGAATTAAGGTTAACTGATGGTTGCTGTTTTAAGATGTTTGATCCATTGGCTGTCCCTCCAGTAGAACAGAAATTGGCAACTGACTAAGGCCGAACAGTTATTTGTTTTTATAACAACTGCACTCAAATTGCAACTTTCAAATTGTGAAAGCTGCTACTATGTCATGCGACATTATCTTAAGTTTTAAGTGGGGAAATCTAATCTTGTAATGTAGGGCTTGTGAACGAGCAATCTCACTCACTATGTTCAGTATTTAAGCCTCTGTCTGAAATCTGGAATTTGGAGGGGGGGCAGGACACTGGATCTTTCTAAATCACAGTATTGGTGAAACATCACTCTTAGGTGTTTTCCCCCCAATCGTTCAGGCCAACAACATGAAGTCAGAGTACTGTGTATTTGGAAAAGATTGTATTAATTTTCCTATGTAGTCTTATGTTTTAAATTCATTTTTTTCTTCCACCACAATAATCAGTTAATTTGGTAAAAGTGAGTAGTTTGTGATATTATTAACCACAAGTTATGCTGAATCTCCTTAAATGTCAGCCTGTCTCTCTGTATAGGTAATGTGTCCTCTGGTCCCCCATGCTGTAGATCACCTGTGTACTTTAACACTGTCACTGGTGTCCACTAAAGTTATTAAAAAAAGCATTAGGCTTTTCTAAATGCATTTCTTTTTTTGGAATTCCAGAACTCCAGAAGACTGATTACATGGTGTTTGCTGGGAGACAGTATTTCTTAGGAGACAAGTGTCAGGTATGACTGGTGGTACGTTTTTGTAGTTGAGATTTTGTCTAGAATGCGTTTTGAGAAAACTGGACCCTACTATATAGCAGTGTCTTCAGTGTGTTTTGGTATAGTAATCATACATGTTTTTGTTGGTCAGGTGCGTTTGGATCCTAAAGGGAAGTACTACAATGCTTTCATCCAGGAAGTAGGGACTCACCCCAGCGCTGTGACTGTGTTTATTGAAGAGCTGGGAGAAAAGTGAGCTCCATACATGTCATTACAGGTTTAATGATAAACTTAGTTGAGAATTAAATTATGCGGTAGGGCAGGGGTGAACAACTTCAGTTCTAGAGGGCCAGTATCCAGCACAGTTTGGTGGTTCCCCCTCTCGAACACACGCACTAACCCTGGAAATTCACAAATGAGTGTAATTAGCAGGTAAATTACCAAACTGTGCTGGGCCCTGGACACTGACCTGGGGTTGTGCACCCCTACCAGAAGGATTATTGATTGGGATTCTCCACTTAAGTGCAGAGATGTCAGACTTTGGTGCTTAAGGGGACATAGACCTGCAGAGATTATTGGTCCTCTAATACAGTGAGTGAATTGGATGTTTTCCTCCTCTAACAAACCTAATTGAAGTCATCAACTCATTAGCAGAATGCTTGATGGGCTGAAAAGGGTGTGTCAAATCAGACACTTAAAATGTGCAGTGCTGGGGGTCCCCTTATGTTGCAAGGTCAAAAGTGATCTCATAACAAGAATGTCTGGGGATGATTGAGAAATTTTGGCTAAATGTGAGTGGGAACATAGACTTCTTGGGGTAGGAACAAACAGGACTTGACTTCCAAACCAGTCCAGCGCCTCGTGGTCGTGGTGCTCAAAGTAGGGTGCTTGTCATTAGCCCATAGATGTTAGCGTGGATGTGTTGTAAGCAGGGTTGGTGCTAAACTGTGCAGGGTGGTAGAGCTCCAGAATTGGACACCGCCTGGAGTCAAGGAATTTAGGACTTCAAAGGTTTTAGAGGTTGTGTACCCTTTTTGGCAGCAGACTTAGCCGCAATCCAACACCAAAAGTGTAACAAGTTGATCCCAAACATGTATTTCAAGACTATGGGTCCCCAGGAGCATGTGCTCTAACAAACCAAATTGAGCTTGTGAAGGAGTTTGGCATGAGCCGAATAATTGATTCAGGTATGTGATGGGGTAGAATTCTAAACTTCTTTTCTACCAGGAGTGGAGTCTGACACTCTAGACTTTGAGGACTGATTTTAATATTTTGCTGACAAAAAAGTGGTTTTGAGTGTTGTTTTTGGTGTTCTAGGCACTTGGTATCTTTGACTAATCTGAAGCCAGTGAATCCTGTCCCAGCATGGAACATAACACCGAGCAGAAAGGGCAGCTCCTACAGCCATGCTGAACATTATTCTGGAGAACTAGGTGTCTTCTCCTTCTCTCTACCAATAATATTTCATAAAAAAAAAAAAAACAATAAAATGGCGGTATTTGTTTTGCATGGTTGTTATATTAAAGGGTCCATATCACAGTAAACTAAGAGATGGAGGGATAAAGGGAGGTTGGAAAATGTTTTTTACATGATCAGTCATAACTGTTTTTGGTACATGCATAAACACCATAAGTGGACCACACAAGCCAAAAATAAAATACAAGACACATGTAGGATATGGTCCCTGTAATGTGCAGCAAGTCATAATGTCAGATGTCTTTAGTATTTTTTGTGCTGTATAACTGAGATTATTAGCATGGTAGGTCTTCCGTAGGATCAGCATTCTTCTACAGTGTTTGTGCTTCCTTTCAAATGAATGTGTCTTGTGCACCAGACCCAGAGCTGCGTGGACGGCGGAGATTCCTGAAGAAAGCTAGAGGTAAAGAGATGCTGATGGCTATGTCTTATGGACGGCCTCAGCCTGGCTTGCCCCCCCGCCTGCAGCCCTGCCCAGGGAACCTGGCCCCTATTCGTGCTCCTGGAGTGCATGCTCCTGCTCCTCCCCCACCTGGCCTCAGTTACGAGCACTACCGCCCACACCCTGCCCCAAGACCGCCTCGTGGATATGGACCACCTAGGTCAGACACCCAGTGCTGTTCTTACACACACACACACACAGACACACACACACACACACACACACACACACACACAGCACATTATTAGGTACACCTATCTTGTTTCTACACTCATTGTCCTTTGCCTTTGTATCACTCCGCTTACTATATAGGTACTGCAGCACTGCAGTGACACTGACGTGGTGGTGACATACTAGTGTGTTACACAAGTATGACTGGATCAGACAAAGCTGTGCTACTAGAGTTTTAAACACTGTGCACTCATGGTCTACCTTGTTGGTCCACCTCATAGATTTAAAGTCAGAGACAGTAACTCATCTGTTGCTGCACAGTTTGCATTGGTCATCCTCTAGTACTTCGTCAGAGGTCTTAGGACGCTGCCCGCAGGACGCTGCTGGCTGAATATTTTTGGTTGGTGAAGGATTCTCAGTACAGCAGTGACACTAATGTTCTAAAAATTCAGCAGCACTGCTGTGTCTGATCCTCTCATACCAACACAACATGAACATGCCACAACCATGTAAGTGTCACTGCAATGCTGAGAATGATCCACCACCCAAATAATACCTGCTCTGTGAGGGTTCTGACCATTGATGAACAGAGTAAAGGTGAGTAACAAAGTATGCAGAGAAACATATGGACTATAGGTCGTAATTGTAGAACTACAAAGTGCACCTATATGGAAAGTGGAGCTGATAAAATGGCCTAGATACATGGTAGGTGTGCTTCCAAGTGTGTTCCTGTGTTACATCATCTTTCCTATTATACCAGTGTTCAGTAGTCATTTGGAAACGAGTCATTTGAGGACACTAATTGTTGTCCTGAAAGTGAATATTTTATTTTTTATTTTTTTATTTTTTCTCCTTTCCCCCCTTCCCTCTCTCAGTTGTCTTCTATTGCATATGTTTTCAGTGGGAGACAGGGCAGGCCAGTCTAGCACCTGCACTCTCTTACAGTGAAGCCATGCTGTTAATAACACATACAGAATGTGGCTTGGCATTGTCTTGCAGGGTTGCCCCTGAAAAAGACATCATCTGGATGGCAGCATATGTTGCTCCAGAATGCATGTGTACACCTCAGTGGCATCTTCACAGATGTGCAAGTTATCCATGCCATTGGCACTAACACACCATACTGTGACGGGCTCTAGCTTTTGAGGTTTGGGTTGGTGACAGTCTGGATGGTCCTTTTCCCTCTTCAGTCCAGAGAACATAACGTCCATTATTTCCAAAAACAATTTGAAAGGTGGCTTTAGGTCAGAGAGGATGGTGGTGCATATGTTTTTAGTGCAATGTCTACGGCATTCAGTATTAGTTTTCATTCTTGTCCTTTGTGTTTAGACCTCTTTTGATACTTAATCTTTTGATAAATTTATGGACTGTAGATGGTGAAATCCCTAATGTTCTTGCAGTCATTCCAAAATGGTTTAAGCTATAGACATGACGCACATCACAGCAATCAGCAGACCCTGCCCTCTCTAGCCAGAGTGAGCTCTAGGTGTGACGAGGCATCAGGGAGTAATCCGGCTCGAAAAACGACCCAAAATGCAGTCTAACCTGATCTCCGTTCTCTGATTTCAGGCTTAATATCACAAACTATAACTTATTACAAAGGGCTAATACAGCGACATGATACACACATGACTTTGCTCAGCTGGGCTCACTTTCTCTAGCCGGTGTGATTTCATCTGGGTGCATATAAGTATCAGCCATTAAACTAGCTTGGGGGGGAAAGACCCAAAATCCACTCCAATGTATGCTTTGAATCATCCTTTTAAATCCTCTATTGCGCTTCTTCCTGTGTTTCAAACAAATCTTCTGATTGACTCTGATTCTGACTTCAGTGTTGATAATTGGGAATCTACAGCTGAAAACAAGGAACAAAAACAAACAGACTGGAGCATGTGTAGCGCATACTCTCTGCGTGTGCTTGGGGAGGAGTTATGTAACAAAGGGCTGCGCTCCAATGAGCAAGACTGGGGCTGTTGCAATTCAACATCATTTCATTCAAAATGAAAAATTAGGAACTAATAAATTTTAACAGATAAGCACAACGTTAAACTTTGACAATAGCAAGTGATGAGTCTTGCACTGTAAGTTGATCAGCCAATGTGTACGTTTGCAAATCATAAACCATCCCCCTACTAGTAGCTGTGATAAATTAGTTAAGGTTGGCTAACCTTGGCTAAAGGTCAGTACTTAGCTGTTCGGGAGAAAATTGGCGAACTTGGCATCAGTCTTAAAGTCTTTGTGGGTTCTAAGCCAGTATTAACTTGCATTTTACTATATCTCTGGTCATGAAGCTTTTTAGAAGGATGCAGAGGCTTTATAGGTCAGGATCCAGTTGGCTTACATGCTTCCATGGCTGAATCAAACTGTGTTTGCCTGCTGGTATGTTTCATATCTTGCAATCTGGGAAATGGGCAGTGGTTGGGATCACAGACCAAAACACTATCTGCTCTGGAACAGAAAATTCAAAGGAGAACATAATGGCTGTAGCACTGTTGTTGGAGAAGCAAGTCAACTTAACTTGTTTCCTTAATCTTTGACACATCGGGCTCTAAATCACATATGATTTAGTACAGTAAATATTACATATTGTTCCTTTTAAGTAAAACCCTGTTTCCAAAGATGTTGGGACGCTGTGCAAAATGTAAATTAAAAATGGAACACAGTGATGTGGAAAATCATTTACACCGTGTATATTTAGTTGAAAAATCATCAAACATTGAAACTGAAAAAATTGTTTTTTTGAAAAATATATGCCCATTTGATGCCAGTGACACGTTTCAATCAAGTTGGGATAGGTGCATCACCTCTTCTTTTAACACTAAGTGTTTGGGAACTGAGGACACCAGTTGCTGACTACAGACAGGACAGTTTAGCACCCAGACTCTATTTATTTATTTATTTATTTACTTGCTTGCTTATTTCCCCACTCACACACACACACACACACACACACACACACACACATATATATATATATATATATATATATATATATATATATATATATATATATATATATATATATATATATATATATATACATACATACATACATATACATACATGTATATGTATATATATATACTCTGATGAAGTTAAGGGAATAATGCAGTTGGTGCAGGGTATTTGGCATCCATGGTATTGAAATGGTGTTCTTGAAAAATTTTGGTGGTTAGAAATGTATAGAAACGCATTGTCCTCATGAAAGCTTTGGTGCCATATTATGTGTATGCCAGGTTAAGTTGGCCACTAACAATGCCATACACTGTCACAAATACCTTTCTATTCAGCTTTGTAGCCTTGGTGACAACTTGGTGTGTCTTGCTCTTTTTGTATACTGGTGCCTTTTTGTTTTTGTTTCCTGCTGTCTCCATGCCTTCACTGTTCTGGTCAGAAGCTCAGCACGTTTCCTGAATAGACAACATATCATTGGACCAGAGGTGGCTTACTATCCGAGCGCTGGCAAACGCTGCTACCAGAGCTTTGACAATTATTCCTTTAAATCACGGTAAGAGAATCTCTCTAGGCATCTAACAGAAGAGGTTTGTTAGGCCATCTTACCTGGAATTGATCCTGTCATTCTTCTGATTTATCATAAGAATACAGTTAAAATGACAGGGGGGCAAGATACTGATCACTGAATTACTACTGTTGATGACTGGATCATTATGACCTTGCATGAAAAACTATTAATACTTGAGCAAAAATGTGCCATGTAGCCAACTGTAAGTGTATTTGTTCTTGTACAGCAGAAGTAGGCGTCAGATGCACTCGGTGAATAAGGAATGTCAGTTCAGCTTTGTGCCTGAGCCTGAAGACGAAGCCCAGGACATGGAAGGAACCATGACCTTCTACGAAGTGGAGGAAGCAGATGAAAATGCATTCTCTCCCATACAGGTTTGTTTCTGTCTTATCTAAGTAACTATTACTTGACACGTTATTTTTTTTTTCCTCTTAAATCTCTTGGAAGGAATATTCCAGTCAACTAATTCCTATTATAACATGTTTCTGTCCTTTTACAAGGCACAGAAACATGTAGAAATTTCTGTGGTGATTCACTATATGCTGCAGATAGGCATTAGATCAAAATTCTGAGGTATTGTTTTAAACGTCAGTCTGTCTCAGCAGGGACAAACGGTTACCAGTACTATGGTACCTGGTGCTGCTACTTACTGGGTGTCACAAGGCCCAAGCCCTATTCCATCTGGCAAACAGCCCATAGCATCATCTGAAGAGGACCCTGATGAAAGGAGCACCGCTGGAGACCATGGTAGCTTCCTTGCCTACAACATGTAAATGTGCATATTTACACTGCAATATGTAAAATTTCAATATGTCATTTTCCACAGGTGAATACTCAGAGGAGTATATTTTTTCTGCCTCTGGTTAGTGTATCTTTTTAAGCTCTCTCTTTGTGACATATCTCACTGTTCTATGCTAGCTTTGTTTTTTATTTCCTTTAATGATATTGAATCTATTTTACTGATTTGGGTTTTCAGATGCAGGATTTCAGAGTCCATCTGTTTATGCTGCTGCAGAGTCTACCACCAACCTGGTACTGCATAATGCTTATTTACAGATCCCTCAAAATTCAGCTAAGCTGTGCACTTTTTGACCACATTGTGCCAACAAGTCAGTTACATTGACAGTGAACATGTTATTGCACACTGTTTAAGAAAACCTATCATTAACATGCTTACCAAGTTTTCTTGCATTTAGACCATTCAAGAGGGAGGCTCTCGTGCTGGGTCACCACAAGAGGGCATTGCTACCTACAGTTACTCACAACAGGCATGCTCTCTATTTACTGCACTTTACATGCTACTGATGGGGAAATACATAACAGCTGTTTATTGTGGTGCATTTCTTTGTGCTTGCTTAGCATGTTGTCTTTGATGTATACTGTCTTTCAGGTGGTGGTAAAGTCAGCAGTCCTTTCTTCCTCTCAGCCAGTCAATTCTGCCCCTGCTGCCATCTTTACTTCCAACTCTTCTCCTTCTTCCTCAGCTGGGAGTTCCCATAGCCCCCCAAATCCCTTACAACCTTCCAGCATCACACCCGGGCAGCCCCCACCTCTGCACACAGTGGGGAGGCCAGGTTTGTCACTCACTTAAAGGGAAATTCTTCTGATTTTTCTAAATCATTGTGTAGGTAAATTGCCAAGATGTAAACAGAGTAATTCAGAATGTTAACTGTGGAGATGTACATACACAGCACTGTGAGGCAAAATGGTACCCAAAGAAAACTTTTTTTCTTATATACTTCTATTTTACCGATTGCCAACATTTTATGCTTTAAAAATTGCATATAAGTTGTTTTGGATAGTAAATAAAATTTTGCAGTGTAGACATTGTGACTCCTGGTTCCTATCACCACCACTGTAAACAGTCAGTAAATACAGTGCATAATTTCATATATTTCTGAATGACTTTGTTTACAACTCAATTATTCAGTCATGCATAAATTAAAAAAGGAAATTCCCCTTTAACACTGAATTACAAATGTCATAAATTTATAATAAGAAATTATCAAATTATGATAAATGTAATTACACTACATGGCCTTAAGTATGTTGACACCATTTTAATTAGTAGGTCCATCCACGCCTATTGCTGACAGGCACATCAGTTGAAGCAGTCATGCAATCTCCATAGACAAACACTGGCAATATAATGGGTTGTAGTAGTAAAGAGCTCTGACTTTTTCAGCGTGGCACTGGGATACACACATCAGTTAAACAAATGTCTGTTCTTCTGGAGCTGCTCCAGGCAACGCTAAGTGCTGTTATTGTAAAGAGGAAACATCTAGGATCAGCAGCTCAACTGTGATGTGATAGGCCACACAAACTCACTGAATGAACTACTGGGTGCTGAAGCACATAACCCTTAAACCCATCTGTCCTTTTTTTTCCCCAAAACTCACTGCAGAGTTGCAGACTGCCTCAGGAAGCAACTTCCCACAAGACCTGTATCTGGTGTTTCATTGAATGGATTTCCATGGCCATGCAAGCCTAAGCTCACTGTGTGCAATTCTAAGTGTCAACTTGGAATGATCTATAACTCTACACTCCATTTGACTCTTGAGTGTAACTTTCTCTGGAGTGATGAATCTGACTTTGGTGTATACCACAAAAACCTGCCCAGTGCCACCTGTAAACTTTCGTTGAAAAGTAATTATTATTATTAGGGGCTGTTTTCATGGTTTGGACTAGGCCCATGAGTTCCAGTGAAGGAGAATTCTGTATGTTACAGCATACAGTGATATTCTGAAGAAATGTGTGCTTCTACCTAAGAGGGAACAGTTTTGGAGGGAAATGCTTTCCTGTTTAAGTATGATTAGGCCGGCCCTGTACACAAAACAAGATGTATACAGAAACGGTTTGTCAGCTTTGGTGTGGAAAAATTGACTGGCCTGAGCAGAGCAATGACCTCAGCCTCATCCAGCACTTTGAGATGGAGTGCTGACATTGAACCAGGCCTTGTTGCCTAACATCAGTTTCTGACCTCACTGATACTCTGGTGGCTGAATAGAAGTGAATCCCTCAAAATTTAGCACAAAGCCAAATCTCAGAGTAAAGTTAGGGGGACAGCTCCATATCAATGCCCATGTTTGGATGTGTATTTGGGTGGCTAGGTATTTTTGGCCATGTATTGTAGTTTCTTGTGGTCAGTTTATGTTCTAGCTGCAGGACTGCAAATCAAAAGTTAACTGAAAAAAGTATAGGTGAGGGGGGGGACAGTTTTCCTCTCTTGAAAAGTTTGGGCAAGTTTGTGTAGTTAGGCTATTATACTTTTAATTCTTATTTTTAAAATAAGGGTGGAATAGAATTGCTTCATTGTGCTGTTTCTGTAGACAGAACATAAATAAAAATACCTTTGCCAAGCATGAGTGCTTAATCGGCGTTTATTGTTCATTTCAAGGTTCTTGGGTCAGTGTTGCATGGTTAATTCTGCAGGCTTCAGTTTTGATCCAGTGTTCATTTAAGTTTTGATTATGGTCCAAGGTGAATAGGAGAAACCCTTGATTTCAGTGTCAAGGTTGCTAGTGTTTTTAAAAATAATAGATTAATTCAGACAAGACACATTTTTTGTGTAAGCTTGTCCTGTTCTATACTTTGTCTGGCTCTCTAGCTGTATCCATGCAGTTTCCACCAGTGTCTCCATGGTTTGTTAACGAGATGGGGGAACCAGTCACTGTGGCTCCACCTCCGCCTTACTCCTATGACCCCAGTGGCAATGACCTGCCTAGAGGTCAGAGCAAGCCAGCGACATGTCATTCATACTGTGTTGTAACTTCTTCTTTTTTTTGTTTATTTTTTGATCAAATACAATATCTTGTTTCCACAGATTGCAAGGTTCTCCAGTATTTTTTCAACTTAGGGGTGCAGGTAGGTAGTTATGTAAAGGAAGAATGAGTAATGATTTATATATATATATAAATATGGATTCAATAGGGTTTTGTATTGACCATCAGTAGTTTTTGTCTTTTAAACATTCTATAAGTCTCTCATTTCTGATCAGACTGAGATCTATCAAGTCCTTTTAGACATTTGTTCATCTTTAATGCTATATTAGGAACCCAGAATTTGACACTAATATGGTAAAGAAATAGAACTTCACATTTCTGGTTAGCTTGCAAACAGGCTTTTCAACCAGAATGTGTGGTCCGAACTTGCTGTAATATTATATAAACATGTCTTATTGACAGGCAGTCTTTCTTTGTTAAAATTAAGTGTCTTTGCCTGCAGACTTACCAGCAGAGTTACTGGCATTCCATGGTGCACATGCAGCAGATGTACCAGCTGCCCGGGGCTGGTGGGGAGCCTCAGTTTCAGCCTTACCTGACTCCTGCTGCAGCAGCTAGTCCAGACCACACTGTCCCCCAGCCTTACCCTGAGCCTGCCCGTTCATGTCCCCACCCTCAGGGTGAGCCGGCCAGCAACGGTCAGCGCATCTCCGTCGCCTCTGCATACCTTCATTCTCTCACCTTGCACCTCAGCCTTGTCACGTAGTCTGCTGTCCTTTTGTCCTCTCCCCACTGCTTCACAACTCTTCTTGCCCTTGCCCTCACCTCCCTTCTCTCTTGCCTCCTCCTTTCCAGGCACTCCTCTGGCTATGGAGCCCTCCACTGCAGCAGTCCCTGGCACTGTGTTCTTCCCACTGGTGCAGGAGCAGTGCAGCCAACCCCCACTCCACTCTACCTACGAGCCCTACGTGCCTGTGCTCTCCACCACCTACCACTACCTCACACCCTGGACCCCCGGGCCTCTCCCACATCCACGTTTCCACCATACCTCATACTGTCCCTCATCCCACCCTCATGTTAATTACATTACCACCCCAACCCACCCCACACACTTTGTGCCACCCAGTATGTAACTAATCACTAAGAGGGGCCTGATCCTCTGTTGTAGCACTGCCTCACCAACACTGTTCCTTTTATTTATTTTTTTAAATTACTTATTTATGGTGTGTTCACTCTTTTGTTTTTGCATTTCTCACTTGATGGTTTGTGTTTTGTAATACTGTTGGATATTGTTTTGATGTTTTCCTAATAAAGAGTTTCCCAATATGCTTGCTTCTGTTTTTGCCAGTCTTTTTACTTTTTGAGTAATGCGGTTTCTTGTAATAATACTAATACTGGTGAGTTAGGGCAAATATTGTTTCTCTAAGTATACAGTTGTGCTGATGTTCACTCCTGAGCACATTTAGTTGTTTGTATAAGGTATTTCAAATGCTATTCAGTAGATGGAAAATGGGGTCCAAAAAACAACAGCGCTGCAAAGAGTTGGAGTGAATGAGGCCTACAATGCAAGTCAGCACCTTGGATAGCAGCCTGAGGAAACTTCTTAAATGTCCTGGACAGTTTTTTTGTAAAGCAGCTAATAGAACTGGACAAATAAGCACATTTGCCTGCTGAAATGTGAATGGAGTTAAGCTTTTACCAGGACAGTAATTCTGTGATGCCATTAGTAATCTGAATATATAAATTGACACCTCCTGGAGTTTTCCTGTCTCTATTTTCAGTAATGTGGTAATAAAACAGGCTTAGGAAGTTAGATCATTTCCAATTTGAAATCATTAGCCATTGATTTGTAATACTTAGTTCTTTTACATGAAAATGTGTTGAAGTTTCCAGCATTCCTGGGCTTTGTCATGTTGATTCATCACATTTATGATTACAATAAATAACAACACTGTTTATCTGTGTTAACATGATATATTTGGATGTTCTGAAGCGAAATGTGGACAGCTTTGACAACTGTAAAATTTAAATTTTGACAACTTCAAGTTTTGACCAACAACCTCAAGGATATTTCTAATAATGCTATCCATGCAAATCAAACTGGATATAAAAAATAACCTTGTTACCTTGTTAATGTCCTTGTTTATTTCATTTACACTGTCAGCTGTGACTGTCAGTTAATAGGCCTCTTTTCATTCTTGTAATCATAGCTGAGCAATATAGAAATTCATACCAAAGCAACTTTTCTGTAAATCAAAGTAAAAAAAAATCCTCACTTTGAGACATAAGCAAAGTGTAACAAAAACCTCTCATCCCAGAAAAAATATAGAAAAATAATTTTATACAAAAACAAAGTTATTATTCGTAAAGTCTCCAAAAAGGAAGTTGAGAATTATCAGTTCAACTTATTCGCATAAGTAAGATTAATATATTACTGAACCATAACACAGAAAATGTTACTAAATCCTTTCATAATGCAATATCCAAACAAAAGTAAGAAATGAGAATAATGAATGACATCCTGTCAATACACTTTACAATCCTAATTAATACACAAGTCAGGTTTCTGGACATAAATTAAGCCTAGTTGGAACTTTAGTCCATGGACAGGGTTTTAGTCCATGACTAATTTGTGTTTGTGCCGGGACATCTGCCACAGTTGCTTCTTAAACTGGATCTACAAAACCAGCTCAGGTTTCAAAGTAAGACAAACACTATAATAGCCATTCACTAGGTAAAACCTATCCCTCAGCTGAAACATCCATATTTCCTCTGTAAACACCTTAATGACATCATGAAGTGCATGCACATGGAATTATTGTTTAAATGCATATTTCTTAATGTGGCACTTTGTATGAAATTTCAGTGCAGTTTTCAGAGCTTTTCTCATCAGAAATTTGTCCTCCATCACAAGGGCCTCACTTACAAAGATCTACCCTTATTTTTGTTTGGCTTTTTCTCATCATTTCCATTGTAAAAAGGTTCTGAAACTTAAGCACAAACTGTTCTCAGATTTTAGATTCTGTCCGAGATGTAGATTCTAATCCTAACCCTAACCTTACACCTGTAAAGGATCAAAGGTAAAATGTCAATGTTCTGCATAGGGGTACTTTGGCACTGGTGGCAACGCTTCTTACCACCTCTTATATGCTGCCAGATCAGCAAACCATATCCAAAAGTTTCCCTGTAACTTTTGGGTGCACTTAACTAGTGTCTCTGCCTGAAATCCTTAATGCTAAGTTTGCTTTCAAACCCATAAAAGCACTTTTTTTGACACAACTTAGAAGCTAGGGAAGCATTATCAAATCAGTAGCATGTGGGTGATGTGTTGATCTATGTGGATATTAGTCTATAAGTCTATGCTGCAAAGAACATTTATGAAATTTGGTATGCATTTATATAATAAAAAATAGCATTGCATTAGAACTGTGTCATCAATGCAAATGCGCTCCCATATTGCAGAAAACGTAAATGTTAACATTCCCAATATTGTACACAGTAGGTAAAGACTACTTATTTGCTAATCATAGTTTTCAGTAATAAAAGGATATTGAGTACTGTATGTACGAGTGTTGTCCATTGCCAGTTTTGTTAATACACAGTCATTTTAGGCTGGAAACAGTCATAGCAGGATTGCCTCAATTGTCATGGCCTACTCTCAAGCAGCCAATGAGTCTGTGCCTAGAGCTGAGTTGTGACAGACTCTTCCTGCTCCCAATAGGAAGAACCCAGGCTGTCACAGGGTCCAACCCAACCCTGACAAAGGTCCTCATTGGAGGACAGCAGGCGGGAGCTGGAGGCAGTTAGGCTGGAAGCACAGTGCAGGGGAGGCAGCGAGGAGTGGCCGGGGGGCCTGAGTAAGAGACTGTCCCTGCCATTTGCCTGCTGAGATGTGGACTGCATTGGGTTTGAATCTCTCTCTCTGGACCCCACTTCCAGTGTGTGCAGGTGCAGCTCGCTCCTTGTCACCCGGTCCTCCGGCAGAGCCTGCGGGTCCTTCCAGGAGGTTTGCGGCTGTAAAACTCTGTCCGAGATGCTGTAGGCAGACTGCTGCTGTTGCTGAAGAGGCTGATCGCCAAGGCTCTGCGTGCGTGCCTCTGGCATATGTCCATTCATACGATGGAACAGCAAGCCCAAGCGGCGCAAGGAGTCCTTCTTGGAGCGTGAAAAACGCTGTAGGCGGCTGCTCGTCCTCACAAATGAGGAGGGCGACCACTTGCTCTTCCTCAAGCCATTGCTCTTTGGTCTATCGTCAGGAGGTTCCTCCATGCCTGCCATGGACCGGAAAAGGGCTGACACACTGTACTGACTCTCGCGGTTCTTTCTGTCCACCTGGGCGAAGGAAACAGAGCTCCTGACCCTTGACAACTCTGCTCCCTCTTCACAACTCACGTCCCTGTCCCGCCTCTCCTCCTGCTCAACTTCAGCTGCATCATCCTGCTGCGTGGCCTCGCTGCTGGAGGAGTAGGTGCGACGTGGAGGCTTGCGGTTGCCCAGCAGGTCCAGAACCTCATAGCGGAAACTGGAGATATCCTGCTTGAGCTCCTTAATGGACCACAAAGAGACGGGAATTCAATTAACGCAGAGCAAACCACACGAACCCACAGCATTCAATTACAGGAAATATTTGCCACTGAAATCTAATGGAAAGGTTTGAAGGTTAACATGGCTGTGAGAACACTTGCAGACAAAGGCTCTTTTGCTTTTGACGCGAGCGAGCATAGGGTGTCCCTTAAGCTGGTGCCTGAGGCTTGCTTAAGGGTTTGCAGCTACATTCCATCTTTGAGGCAAAAGTCCATCTAAAAAGAGACTTGACATGGGAAATAGAGATATGTTTATAACCAACTGGCTTTCAAATTGGACATAATGCCCCCCATAATGAAATGAAGGGAGCCCATATTATGCTAATTATATCTCTTATCTGATAAAAATGGTAGAAAGTAAAGCTCTTAATACAAGAACATTTACAACAAGAATCTTTTAAAGATTTAAAAATGCCTTAAGTGGCATCTTTACATTTACAGTGTCTCCATTGGGAACATCCAAACAAATATCATTATGGCTTTATAGGCATAGTCCAATGGTTTTTCTTCCAAAAAAAAGTTCAGTGTTTTTTTGTGAAATGTGTGTTTCTGATGTTAAAAAAAAACAAAAAAACACCCTCATCAGCTTCCACAGAGCATAGAGCTGCTCAGTTCAAAATGGTCTTGCACAAAAACAAGCATGCAGACAGTTCAATATCAGCATTAGCATTCATTTGTTATTTACCTATTATTTACCTTGATTTTAATTTTAGCATTATTATCTACCTATCACCCGGATAGTATTTCGGTAATACTAGCGTCCGTCATACTACGACCGAGAGCATGTGTTCTTTTCTTTATCAGGTGTTATGTAGAATATTAATATGGAAATAACAGTCATAATTCTAAAAGAATACAAAATGAAACCAAGTAGTTTTCACTGAATTAGCAGTATATAATTTCTGAAAGCAATTTTGTTCCTTATCCTTTCCACTATGGAAAGTCACTTCTGTGTCCTGTCTTAGTTTAGAAGAACATACTTTGTAAAAAGCATTAAAAGCAGCATTAAGAACTGTGAACACTGGAAATATTAGGGCTCTTGCCCTGGGGAAAAAAGGACAAACCTTGAAGTTTTCCTCTGTCAACCCCTCATCTGTTTTGGTTCTGCGGATCATGGCTGCCACGTATCGCTTCACCAGATTTCTGATCACCTCCTAAAACGAGCAACCACAAAAGCATTACTGCAACAGAATGCTGACACAGAATATGATACTCTTAAAATAATCACGTTTCCCCTTGCAGACATTTTCAGAGGACTCCGTAGACCCCAAAGGAGGTGATATAATCTTCCTTACTGGTGGTGGGGCAGAGGGATGGCGGGGAGGGTACTTATTTGCGTATGAATATTATGCAATTCTAGTTTATGAAGGAAGAAAAACAGTTTTGGGCATATTCATGACATGGGTTGGCTGGAGGTGAAAATCTGGACTAGAATGCATTAGCATCAATTTGCATATTCAATAAAGGACGAGTCAGTGGTGGCTCTACAAAACAGTCCCATTCACAAAGCTTGAACCTGCTTAGGGACAAACAAAACCAATCACACCACGCTTGAGTGTGGGGAATAATATCTGACTGCATTTGAGAAGGGATAATAGATGAAAAACTGTGCTACCAAAAGCTACAGAAAGCCTTTTGCTAAACTTCAAGACAGGTCACTCAAGTTGTCCTTGGCTCCCAAGGACATGACAGGTTGTGTGCTTTGACCATGCACAATCATTTAGGGAACTGGAAAATGGGAATGGGAAATTTCAAGGTACTTTCATGACACACAATATGCATCTCACTGGCAGCGATCAAATAGCCTCCATTTATTTTCAATGTTTACAATAATAATAATAAAGAATGTGCACTGCATTATGGGAAAATAACTCCCCATTTTAATGCAGTTTAAAGCAAACAGTGGCAGTGAATAGACCAATCGGTGAGAGAGCACATGACAATACAATCACAACTAACTAGCAGTCTGGCACACTGTGTTCAGCATTCCAAGTGGGAAGCCAGACAAAAAAGGATACCCTGGCCTCCTTGGCCCAAAAAAAAAAAAATGCAGAATATAATTGCAATTTAAATTGTACTCAAAATACATTTATATATTTTAATAAAGCTATTTCCATGCCGCGTCTTATTTGAACCTAAGAACTGGACCATGTTTGATGCAAAGACTGTCCATCAAGAGATCATGAAGAATAAATACATTGGGGTTCACACACACAGCAAAGTGAAATATGCTGACAAAGAAAAGGGAAAATATATTCTAACACCATTTTTGAGGAATTTTTGGAAGATAAATGAGCTGTATATAATAGTTCACAGCCCCTACAGACACCTCTGTCTATGGACAATGTCCAGTAAAGCTGTTTTATTTAAAATAACACACTGCTCACGAGTACTATGCAGACATGCAGAGAAATCAAGCAGTTTGGCTAACCACACTGTGCACTGAAATGTACATGGTAGGACAATGCAGACTCTCTATAGCCTATTTTACACAGACAGTTAAAATAAGTGTAGGCTATTAACGTTTATACCTTACAGTTCTATTAAGTCAAACAGAGTAAAGTTGCCATAGACAGACTTTAGTAGTAAATATTGACTTTTTTCTCTTTTCTCTGTTCTGCTGATAAACAAAATATTAATTATCAAAATGATCAGAATAGGCTGCAAATACAAATAATGAGAGTTAAATCAAACTTATTTTTTCAAAAAGACTTCTACTCATTCTCATATACATTTTTACTTATTTTGCCAGTTTTTTTTTTCTATTTGCTGATTTTACTGACGTATTTTTGTTTCTGGAATTGCTCTTTTGCTTCTGAAATCTTTCTTTTGCTTCTGACTTCTGCCACTTTTTAACAGGGGGCAGGTCTTAGAAGAGGGCATTCACCTGCACTCACTATTGCTCAACTGATTTGAAATAGCAGGTCTTCTGAGCACGCAGCCACTCAGCACGGACTGCCCTCAGCATAGTGGAACATGTTGTACTGAGTGCTGCTATGAGCATACTGGCATATCTGACGTTATTATCAATATTTGTCATGTTCCTTTTAAATTTTTAATGTAACACATGTCTATGGGTCCTGTGTCGACATGTATAAAAGGATTTTACTTATTTTGGGCATTGAAAAACACAAACTTAGTTGTTTATGAATGAACAAAGCTGTACTAACTTTTGAGTTTGCAGTTCTTAGCTAGGCTAGCCTCGACTAGCTGTGTCCTCTAGGGCTAACTAGACTAGTAACAGTGCTGGTAACAGTACTAAACTGCTTAAATAACTAAAGTTAGTTCACTGTATTAATGTGAAGACAGTGATTTGGAGCAGTAGCACTCCATAAACCAGCATGCTGAGATAGAAAGCCAGTTTTAATAACTGACAAGGAGGGATTATGTGGATAGAAACAAGAAAAGACTGGCATAACTGTCTTCATAAAATCCTATAATGGCCAACTGTGATAGGTCAACTTTATTCCCTTTGTAGTGATTAAACCTCACAGCAGCATTAATAGCTGGCAGTAATCAGTGGTATTTTTCACTCTTCACTGTGTTTAGACTGTGCTACTATTTTACTTCCATCAAAACACAGCACCACAGTTTCAAAAATTTCCTGATCAGTTCATGAAGGGCTCGGTAATCAGTTCATGAGCTGGATCAGGTGTTTTAAGGTAAAGAGCAGTTGAAACCCTGCAGAGCTGCATGTAAGAGGGGTTAATAAACACTGATTTAAACAGCTGCAAAGCTTGTCTAGTTAGCCCTTCAGCAGACACTGCTAGGCTAGGTAGTGCTAGCAGTTGCAAACCCAAAAGATCGTACAGCTTCATTCAACAACTAAGTTTACCAAAAATGTTTCAGTTTCCAAAATATATCTTTTACGCAGGGTGTAAACAATGCCAATATGCCCTTGTCAGATTTCCTCGAAAAGTTATCCAGCAAGAACAGTTTTATGATAATAAAAATGAGTAATGATTCACACAAATAGATTAAACTAAAGAAAAAAGGAACAAAAAAGAGCACACCATTGTTTGTTCTGAGAGTTCTGTGTCCTCTGCCTCACTACACTTGTATTTCCACCATCTAACTGAAGAATGATAACTCAGAGTTCGAGGCAAAATGCCTGTGGTTTGGAGCTGTCTCGGCTTTGCTGTTGTGTTTGGTTGAAGTCCAGCATAGACGTGAGAGTTCCCCATTGACCACTCTCCCTACGTGCAAAAAAAGTCTTTTATCTTTTATCCTATGGACAACTCTTGGGCCAAACCTTGTCAAACACAGTATACAGTGGTGTGAAAAAGTGTTTGCCCCTTCCTGATTTCTCATTCTTTTGCATGTTTGTCACAGTTAAATATTTCAGATCACCAATCAAGAAATCACTTAAATAGGACCTGCCTGACAAAGTGAAGTAGACCAAAAGATCCTCAAAAGCTAGATATCATGCTGCGATCCAAAGAAATTCAGGAACAAATGAGAAACAAAGTAAATGAGATCTATCAGCCTGGAAAAGGTTATAAAGCCATTTCTAAAGCTTTGGTACTCCAGCGACACACAGTGAGAGCCATTATCCACAAATGGCGAAAACATGGAACAGTGGTGAACCTTCCCAGGAGTGGCCAGCTGACCAAAATTACCCCAAGAGCGCAGCGACAACTCATCCAAGAGGTCACAAAAGACCCCACAACAACAAAGAACTGCAGGCCTCACTTGCCTCAGTTAAGGTCAGTGTTCATGACTCCACCATAAGAAAGAGACTGGGCAAAAATGGGCTGCATGGCAGAGTTCCAAGACGAAAACCACTGCTGAGCAAAAAGAACATAAAGGCTCGTCTCAGTTTTGCCAGAAAACATCTTGATGATCCCCAAGACTTTTGGGAGAATACTCTGTGGACTGACAAGACAAAACTTGAACTTTTTGGAAGGTGTATGTCCCATTACATCTGGTGTAGAAGTAACACAGCATTTCAGAAAAGGAACATCATACCAACAGTAAAATATGGTGGTGGTAGTGTGATGATCTGGGGCTGTTTTGCTGCTTCAGGGCCTGGAAGACTTGCTGTGGTAAATGGAACCATGAATTCTACCTGTCTACCAAAGAATCCTGAAGGAGAATGTCCGGCCATCTGTTCGTGACCTCAAGCTGAAACGCACTTGGGTTCTGCAGTAGGACAATGATCCAAAACACACCAGCAAGTCCACCTCTGAATGGCTTAAGAAAAACAAAATTAAGACTTTGGAGTGGCCTAGTCAAAGTCCTGACCTGAATCTGATTAAGATGCTGTGGCACGACCTTAAAAAGGCGGTTCAGGCTTGGAAACCCTCCAATGTGGCTGAATTACAACAATTCTGCAAAGATGAGTGGGCCAAAATTCCTCCAAAAGTCTCACTGCCAGTTATCACAAACGCTTCATTGCAGTTGTTGCTGCTAAGGGTGGCCCAACCAGTTATTACGTTTAGGGGGCAATCACTTTTTCACACAGGGCCCTGTAGGTTTGGATTTCTTTTTCCCTTAATAATAAAGATCTTTGTTTATAAACTGCATTTTGTGTTTACTTGTGTTATCTTTGCCTAATATTTAAATTTGTTTGGTGATCTGAAACATTTAAGTGTGACAAACATGCAAAAGAATAAGAAATCAGAAAGGGGGCAAACACTTTTTCACACCACTGTATACTGTACCTTACAAATCCACATGATGATGTCATAACCACATTAGAGCAGGACATTATATGCTTTTCTAATCTACTTTGCTGATGCTAATGTCTCTTTACTGTGGAGCGTTATGATTCTTCCTTCTGAAGAATAACACTCATGTTTCTAGACATTTGGAGCCAAAGTAACGTTGGCCATGTAAAGAGGAGAAAGACACAGAGTTGTCTTTCAGATCACAGTACAGGATTCCATAAATTACAGTTTAAATCATAAGGAACGAAAGATACAGATTTAATATACAGTCTTTAAACACATAATAATCACACAATCATAATCATTAGAGGTATACACACTCACCGAGCACTTTATTATGAACATACCCCAGTACTTAGTGGCATGGATTCCAAAATATGTTGGAAATATTCAAGTAAGATTCTGGTTCATGTTGACAAGATTGCATAATGCAATTCCTGCAGATTTCATACTGCGGATGTTCTACCCCGTCCCAAAGGTGTTCTACTGGATTTAGATCTGGTGACTGGGAAGGCCACTAAAGAACACTGAACTTCTTGTGATGTTCATGAAACCAGTCTGAGATGACAAATTCTCACACTACCATCTGTGTGTCTCAGCAGAAATTGAGATTCATCAGACCAGGCTCCATTTTCCATTTTTTTCAACTGTCCAGTTGTGATGAACCTGTGCCCACTGCAGTCTCAGTTTTCTGTTCTTGGCTGACAAAAGTAACCCAACGCATTCCTCTGCTGTCATAGCCCATCCACCTCAAGATTTGATGTTTTGTGCATTCTGAGATGCCTTTTTGCTCACCACAGTTTTACACAATTACACACAATTGCACAATTGTAATCTCAGTGATTCTTACTGTGGCATGATTGTTGGTGCCGCTGGCCAGTATCTGCATGATTTTTTGCACTGCACTACTGCCACACAACTGGCTGATTAAATAATTGCATGAATGAGTACATGTACAGATGTTCCAAATAAAGTGCTTGGTAAATGTACATTTGGCAAAAAAAGTCAGGAGGGTCAATGGTGAGTTTTTTTAAATATTAACATAATATTTACTAATAAAATTACGGCTCTAGCAATTGCTCTTTGCTGTGGTTCAAATAATTATGGCTCAAATAATTTCACACACAGCAAGTATGAATGCACATTATAGGCCCTGAATAATAACGCCATTGCTGTATTCAATTTTCACAAAAAAAACAAAAACAAAAGTAAAAAACAAAAAACGTTTTATGTTATTGACAGCACTTCTTTTGGCTTTATCACAAAGAACATGCTAACAAGCTTAAGCTGAAATTAGTGTTGCATGATATATTAAATATTATAATTAATTAATATTAAATACTGTAACACGGTAAACAATTAAAAAACTAACTTTCGACACTTTGAATTCCTTAATTGTTTACTTTTAAATAAGCTAACAATAAGCTGACATTTGCCTGTATGTAAATAAAACTGTTCATAATTTGTTTTGGATGGGCAGAGGCAGACTAACAAAGACGCCCTTTTAATCCTAGAAATGATCAACATGAAGTACACTGTATGGCCAAAAGGTATATATATAGCTTGTTTCCATATGTGTTAGTTGAACATCTCATTCTAGAACCAACGGCAATAATACAGAGTTGTTCCCCTTTGGCTTTCATATCAGCCTCCACTCTTCTGGGAAGGTCTTTTCACTAGAATTTGGAACATGGCTGCAGTGATTCACTTTTATTCAGCCACAAAAGCATTAGTGAGGTTGGGCGATTAGGCCTAGCTCACTGTTGGCATTCAAGTTCATCCCAAAGGTATTGGATGGGGTTGAACTCAGGACTCCATTTCTTGATGGACCAGTTTTTTGCACAGGGGCACTGTCATGCTGAAAGGCCTTTCTCAAACTGTCAGCAACTTGGCACACAAAGCTTTAGAACGTCCTTGTATACTGTAGCATTAGGATTTCCCTTGACCCTATTTTACTGCCAACATCGGTCTAAGGAGATTGCATGGCTGTATGCTTGATTTTATTCACCTGGTAGCAAGGGTGTGGCTTTAACAGGCAAACCATGTAATGAGAGAGGATGTCTACGTACTTTTGGCCATTTATTTCACATCTGAAGAGTGTTTTTTTCAGTGTTTGTTCCTGTGTTCATTCAGGTGATCTGACAATGAGAGGCGTTATTCATTTTTTACCATAGTATCATTTTGATATCAACCGCCGTGATACTACACTTGGTACATTTACATGTACGCATTTGGCAGACCCTCTTACCCAGAGCAACTTACAAATTAATCATGTTGTGAATGTATTGGTGTGTACTGTTAGGAGAATGTATTGCCCAAGGACTCTTTATTGGCTTGTTGTGCTTGCCGGAGCAGGAAATCAAACCCCAGTTTGCTGCATGGAGGGCAGTGCCATTACCCATTTATCCAGAACCAGAATGACTTACAATTTTAGTCGTGTTACAGATGTAGGTAAATGTATAATTAGGACTTTTTCCAAGGTTTCCAAGAGAAAATTCTGGTACTGTGACAAGCCAATGTGATACTAGAATAAACTAGAGTCTCTTAATGTTTCCCGTTACCTGATGTTGCACAATACATCAGGTACTAGGGGTCACTTTAAAAAACATCCACCCTACCCAAAGGATTTTGTGACAATCCAAAAGAAGCAGAGAGCACTTAGCACACATAGTGTGAGGAAAGTAAATGGTACACATGCACTGACAGGTTTCAAACACACTACAGCAAAAGGGCAAGCACAACACAATATTTATATTCCCTGTCAATAACGAAATGAGTCAGAAACATCCACACGTCCAGAGTACTTTGATAAAGCTTTCTGTCATGAGAGGATTATCCATTGAATGCTGCTGTCAAAATATTCTATTAACTTCAAGTTAGAGCCTGATTCTTAGCCTTTCAACACACGACAAAACAAATTTCCAATTTATTTTTTTTTACAAGACTTAGAAGTGCAGAAGAACTAACTAGAGCAACCACCATGTAGGCTACTGCCCTTTTTATGATCACAAATGATGACTGAGCATTATGTAAATCTTAATGCTACTCTATACTCTCTTTTGTGTCACATTAAAACAGTGACATTAAAGAAAGATGAAGATAAATGCATGCAATTATGAAATCCTGCAGCACTTCATAAAATCACTCAAATTCACAGGCTTTATGTAAAGCCTTCCTAATGCGTCTCTCACCCTTGCTTGTTTGCTCATTTGGGTGTCAGCTGTTGGCATATGTTAACACAAACTCTAATGTTAGCCTAAGATGTTAGCCTAAGAGAATCCATAATGTAGCATGGTGAGAGGCAGGCAGGCATATGTCACTGTAAACTGTCACTGTATAATGGAAACAGCTAAATTACCTGATAGTGCTGGTTTTGAATGAGGTTGTCAGCATGTCGTTCCTGCCCAAAAAAAAAAACAAAAAAAACAGAGTGAGCAATGCAGTATTTATCACCATTGCCATTTGACAGTTCAATTCCATTCAATAATCAGCATGTGCACATTTCTGTTGTTCTGTTGCACTTTGCTGCATACATTGACTAGAATGTAGTATGTATTATTTGCAGAGTGGATGCATACCAACTGAACAGAAATAAGCAACGTGCAATTTGTAATGACACTTACATGATTTCCCAGCCCAATGCATAATACACAAACACACCCATCTGTGCAATATTTGTAAAGCTGCACTATGGCTACTGGTATTGTGCAATAAGTGACACTGCTGCCAACAGAAACACCACCAGAAAAGACTCGCTCCTTATCAGCCAGTAACATGGAGCTCCTCTGCTCACTTTAAAAGCACCACTCACATTCTACTCGCTGCAACACCAGTTTAGAATTCAAAAATAAACTCCAGCGGCCTTACGTAATGATTTTTGAACCCAAACTGTGTGTTTCAGCACGCTGTGTGTGTGGGAGAACGTGGGTGAGCGAGTTTGCAGGAGAAGGGCGTAAAAAAAAAAGAAAAAAAGAAGGAAAAAAACTAGTGGAGCCCGACTCGCAGAGCAGAGAAGTTCAACTGATGGGAAGACGTCAGGGGAATTGGCATGGTTGAAGCGCGGTTGCCTAGCAACCGCCACTGGCCTATGGCAACTTGAGGCTGGACAAGCAACGTGCACCGTCTCCTAGCAAAAAACCCTAACTATGTTTGCACAGAGAACATGTTTTCTGCCTTTGGATTTTTCCTTGTCGTATTCCAGTCATTCAAAGACATTGTACACTCTTTTTAAGTTTTTTTTTCTTTCATATATATAGTTATCATATGCCAGTTAAGACAAAAAGGCAAACCTGCAATAACTGTATACAAAGACAGGAATACAGTTAGCCAATATGCAGATGGAAACCCTACGCTTTAACTAAAAAGTTAGTTTTACTTCTGCATTATTCAAATGTATGGATATCCTCCTCATTCTATGTCCTTGCTGAAAAAAACAGCCTGGCCAGCTCAAGCTAGTTAAAATGCTTAAGCTGTTGAATAGCATAGAGTATGTTTTTGTTTGTGTCTGACGCAGATAATCTTGGACCACCAAGAATCTGGCTATTGACCATCAAAATCCAGCTGAAACAAGCTACCAACAAGCTGGTACAAAAAGGTACAATAGCCAAAATATTCTGTGAAAATACATACTTCAGACATGTAAAAAAATATTTAGTTTTAAAGTAAAGGCTTTGATTTGTTCTAGTGATGCATTGCATCTGTAAAATGTGTTTCATGGCATTAGTGAAAAGAAGGCTTGTTACTCTAACAAAGTACCTAATCAGGAGTATAAATAATGTTTTCTCAGGCCCACTTCTTTTTGGATGTATATGATAGCTATGGATTGGCCTTAAGTGAAATTTGCACATTTTTGCCCTTAATCAAAATGTAGTTGGTCAGCTAATACATGGTCAGTGTTTAAATATTAATTCCTTAGTTTTGCACTGGAGCAATAAGGCTAATCTAGCTAACACCATATGGAACAACCCATCAATTAACACCATGCGAACTCCCTAAAGCATCACACACTTGCCTTTATCCACATCCAGTTGTTAAATGGTCTCAAACAGATTTGCAAATGTGGTTTGTGCGCTGTATGACACTGTGGTTTGTGCACTGTATTTATTATCTAATAAAACAGGCAAAAGTACAGACAAAACCTGTCTGACATATTGTCAGTAGGTTTGCAAAATTTGCAGGTATGTTAAAAAGACACATTGTAAGGATGTTAAAAAGGGGAAAAAAAGATCAGAAATGTACGAGGTAGATGTGGACTGTGATTTGGAGCTGTATTTTCACTGAAAATACTCCACTGGCTTTCCCAAAAGAGTAATTGTTTGGTCTTGAGATGTCTCTTCAGTTTTGAGAGTTTTTTTGATCCATTTGAAACCAAACTCCATTTACCAGGCTTTTGGATTAGCGTTGTCACAATCAACAATAATGATAAATTACGCTTATCTGCTTCTTTTTGCAATTTGAGTTTAAGCACTCAGGTCGCTGATGCCCGGCCAAATATATGACCTGTGATCCATGAGTTAAAAATAAACTCATATCTTTGCTATTATTTTATGTCTATTGTTTTTAACAACAGCTTGTGCTGAGAGTCTGTAAAGAGTCATTAAAACAGTCATTATGCTGACTGTACGTTGCCAACGTGCCTCTAGAAGAGAAAGAAAGCCATCTCTACTAATGAATTCCCTCGTTTGATCACAACATGTTTCCATCAACAGTGAACTGAACCAGGGTTTGTTTGGAAGCACACCAACCTGCGGTTTTTGGACAGGTTCAGCTGTTTGTTGTAGACCCGAATACAGGTGGAGTGTTCACACATGGCAAAACGGAGCGAACTAAAGAAAAAGGTGTGATATGTCCACACCAAACAAAGTGCCCTGAGAAACTTCTCTAGCTCTGGCTAGCCGTCTGCATTGTACGCCTGCAGCTGTGTGTCTCAAACAGATGATATTTAAGTAGCCCAATACTGCAACGTTTTTATTTGTACATCTCTATTAATATTTATATTGGTTATAATGTGAAAATGTTTCATTTATAGATTTTTCATTATTAATTTCATCTTTTTTCCACTTATGTTTTTATGACTCACAGTAATGTTACCGGCCCACTAAGAATTACTGCCTCCCTCTGAGTACAGGCCCACGTACCACTGGAGCAGGGGTGCACAGCTCTGGTCCAGGTGTCTAGCACAGATTGGAGGTTTCCTGGCTCAAACACACCCACTTAACCTGATAATTAACAGATAAGCATAATCAGCTGTGTTGGAGTAGTTAAACCACCATACTGTGCTGGACACAGGCCCCCCTCAGTTGTGCACTCCTGCACTAGATGGTGCTTCACAGCCCACTGATGAGAAACCCTGGCCTAGAACACACCATCTCTAGCTATCTAGAAAAATTCAAACCAGTCCGTACCGTGAACTCCTTGAGGTTCTCATGTTTGTGCTGCTCCTTAGGCCTGGGCTGGCCCTGGCCACAGAGTCGGTTGTGCAGCCACACACACAGATACCATACTGACTTTGGGCTGGGAATGATGTTGAAGGGTGGGGGAAGTGTCCCTCCTTCATCAAAGTAGCTCATCCACAGCTTGGTGCGGGCGAACTTCCACTCAATGTCAGCGTGGTCCTGCATGGGGATGGAAAAGGACAGTATTCAAAACTAGACAAGAGTCAGCGTCTACTGCAGCAAGCCACATGAGATGACGTTGAAAGGCCAGCTTTTGTCAGTCAACTCTTGTGCCGGATCTAAACCTATTCAGCTCTTGATGGGATCATTTATGCATGATGATGCACGTGCTTCTGTTTGTTTACCCAGCTACTGTAACAGCTCCCATTTGAGACACATTAAGGGGTGAGAGAGGCGATCTAACTCTAGCTTACATAAGCCCTCCCAAAACACTCTCCCGCAGAGGATGGATCTGAGCCTGCTTAACGGTTCATGCTGCCTATTTAAGCCCAGGCAGTAATAGAAAACATGCAGAACACCTTACAGTGATTCACAGCCATCATGAAGTCCCTTAATAGGCTTTCTGAGTCATGGCACATACTATTTATAATAGAGGTAAACAAAATATGAGCAAATTATATTTAATCTAGATGAAAAATAGAATGGATTGAGGTGGAGTGCAGAGTCTATAGTAAGGCATTCCTTATGGTTTACATAAGTTAATTCCACAAATGGGAAGAAAATACTAGAAAGATTCATAAAATCCTGTATGAAAATATTTCAGCTAGGGATGTGCATTCTGGCTAATTTTGATAAATGAATACCTGTAATGAATGGATATTCAGTGAACCCTCTGGGGTCTAAGAGCATTTTTTGTATATCTTCTTAAATTCACCTTTAAAGGTACTTGCATATAACATGAATAACATGATTCCCATATGTTTCAAATCAAAATTCTGTTACCTTCATCGTTACTTTCCAAAACTGCTGCAGCCACTTCAGTGGCTGTTAACTCTTTGCATGCCATTTCATGCGTCTTCGATGCCGACTGAATGAAGAATGAAGGGTTTCTGACATGATGGGTATCTCAACCTCTCTTCATAGCCTCATAGCTCCAGATGTAAGTCATGTACAATCATGTAATAAGAAGGAATTGAAATGGCAGAGTCTACAGATTCAGGGAAAGTTTGAACTGTATTTCTGTGCTTGTATTATCGCAAAGATAGAGAATTAAATAAAGAAACACTGAATTTAATGCATGGGCAAATTCATGGACCCCAGAGGGTTAATCAAAAGGAAGTAAAGTTCAAGCTCATCTGTAGATATTAACTTGTCATAATACACAGACAGTAAACTTATGCATGTGTGTTAGCTGCTGTAACAATCAGTAGCATTTAGCAGCTTTAGCAGACAATTTAGCAGCTTACAGAGGCGTGCCTTTGAAAACACGTCCTAGTTTTCAAAAATTGCCAAAGAAAATCTTTTGGTCGCTGGAGGCTGCCTCTTCAGATGAGTTAATAAACACCAGAACAGGGGTGCCCAATCCTGGTCGTGGAGATGGCCCAAATCTATCAAACCTGATGCAGGTAATGATGGGCTTCAGGGGCATCTGAATATTAGAGCCAGGTGTGTTCGGATGTCTATCTTCAGGGTGGTAAATCTCCAGAACAAGGGTTGGGCACCCCTACTCTAGAACTAACTGATGCAGCAGTAGATGATGAAGGCTCATGGCCTTACACAAGGTTTTTTCTTCGCAGCAGATGATGGGAGAATATGTTAGTCTGTCAATGTAACATTGAAAACAGAGAAAAATATTTTAATTGCTTTTGGTTCTAGCTAATTCTAGATATGCTTAGTTAGCTAGTAGTTAACCTAGTTACAACTGCATTTGCTGTCACGTCCTTAAAAATGTAGTCACGTTAAGTGACACTCAAATTTGTGTTTCCCAGAAGCAAAGGGTAATAATATAATACACTTACTTACTCGCAAATACAAGCAAAACTGTTGCACTTTATGGCCAAATTACAGTGTTTCGCTGAATTCTTGTTCTCACTTCCTTTCCATGATGCAGATTAACGAATGCCCGAACAGTGATTTCAGTATTCCAATACTGACACCTGGAACAGGAGAAGTACCTGGCACTCAAGTTCTCTAGCACATCCCTCATTTGAACATGATTCTCCAAAGAGACCTGTTCAATTCAGTGAAGGATTTAAAGGAGATTCCTTTTGCCTCATTGCCTTGCTTGTCATTCATGTACATTATAATGAGAAAATCCATTTTTCAGTGCCACATCCCTTCTAAGTTGTTTTTTTAATTAAATAGCTAATAGGTTTGGGCGCAAACAATACGTTTACAGGTTTACAGAAACAGAAAGTAATCAAAATTTATTTTGAACACATACAACAGTTGAATGCACTCTTATATTTGTATTATCAGTTCATGGTTAAAGAAAATATGAATATTCAATTTCTAGGTGGAATTCTCATTTACACCACTGTAACATGTGGGTCAAATGCATCTCAGACCACATCTTGAAGTGGTTTGAGTGATCAGATTTGTTTCTATTTTAAATGTGTCTTGGGTGCATTTACACTTTCATTTTTATGTGGCCTTAACCAGATATAATCCCGATGTTCAAGACGCTTTAAACGGGGTCATGGACACGGATCATTTACCCAGTGACATACTGCGTGGGGAGACGTTTTAGCTGTACTGGGAGGGGTTTTGGTTGTCAAATGTGTCTTGGAGAGATAGATGCATTTACACTGCTATAACATATGGTTCAAATGTGTCTCAGACCACCTCTTGAAGTTGTTTGAGCGATCAGTTTTGTATCAGTTTTAAATGTGTCTTAGGTGCATTTACACTTGCATTTTTTTGTGGCTTGGCCTTATCCAGACATAATCCTGATACTCAAGATGCATAAAGTGACCAGGTGTAAACGCGGTCATAGATAAATCCACTGTAATTCTCAGATATAACTTACAGCAATAAGCTGATATGAGTTGTTCATCATAGCGATGAGCATGTTGAGCAGCACCACCAGTGAGATGACGTTGTACGTGCCGAACATGGTAGCTCCCACAAACTCCGTGAACTCGTGCCGAGCCTTCACGTTGGTGACGTATAGATTGAGCAAACCGAAGACAGACCAGAAGAGAGACTGGAGGGTTTCGAATAACCTGATACAGAAAGAGTGAGAAAAAAAGGGAGAGGTAGAGAAACATTAAGACTCAGACAGTTTCATACTGTACCCCTCACACACAGAATGTATGGAACAATTTTAAGTGCACAAGCCATAGTTCTGTATGAGATAGATCAAACTCTTCCTTTCAATTCAATTATTAAATACTGGAGGCACTATTCATGCTCTCTCTGTTCTGAACATACTCTAGCACATGCGCACTCTCACATACTCACCACTGATTACTTCTTTTTAAGAAGAAAGCTCATAATGCTACTGATGGGAATACTGCAGTGCACAGAGAATCATATTGTAATTTTTTCCCCTCTAGGCCTGAAGGGATACGCCCTTTTGATTTTAATGAACTTCAGTGCATACTTGCTATGTGACAAGACATATCCAAGTAGCTTAACAGTAGTAGTAGTAGTATCTTCTATTGCTTTTAGATCACAAAAAAGACACTCTATGTTTAATATGTTTATGCACATGGTGAAAGCAAACTTTAGTTACATAGGGGAAGTAGGGAGGAAATAGAGAACCAAACAGCAGATGAAATTTGTCCTCCGCTTACACAACATCATCATTCACTGAAGGCTGATGAAAAGACGGGGAACGCTGAACAAAAGGAAAGACTGAGAAGAAAGGTTTTTTTTTCAATGCTTTTGTTTACAAAAAAATCAAATTTGCTAGCCTCCCAAGACAGGCCTCGATGCATTCTGTTTGCACCGAAATCTCCTCCAATTTTGAACCTGCAGTGGTTGCAAAGCCTAGAGGTGAAGATTGTATTCTCGTATAGAGGGGTTGATGGATGATGCACGATTCCAATAACTCTCCTGTAGCTGTCGCGAATCAAACCATCCTAAACAATTCTTCTTCGTACAAGTTGGGAAACATCAGGGACATTTTGTATGCCTGTTGACTTTCTGTTACATAGCAAAGAAAGCCAGGACATAAAAATAAAAAAGACATATAAAAAGTATATAGTCAGATGAAGCTAGTGCCGATTCTTTGGTATTTGCTTTCTTACCATTAGCCAATAAGGCCATTAAACTGCAAAAATTAAATTCTATCAAACTGAAAAAGTTAACAATTGATATTCCTTTTTTATTTAATGATCAACAGACTAGACTAGATTTGTATGAATAAGATTAATCAGCTAGCTGTCCACTATGGAAGAAGGAATTTCAAAACAATTTTATTTATTGTGAGAATTAAAGTGGACAGATGTCTAGGTTTACAATCTTTTAAAAACATTTAAAAACTTTCCATTCCTAAAACACATAAAGTTGTCTTAAAATTTCTTCTTTTAAAGAGAGCTCCAAAATGTTAAGCTAGCTGATTAATCTCATACAGACAAATCTAGTCTGTGTTTTTAAGCATGTGTATTCCATCATTTTGTAATTAGTACAGCAGTTTAACATTTTTTTTTTACATTTTGCCTCACTTTAAGAATGTATTTTCAGAAATGTATCTTATTTTAAGCATTACAGTATTGATTTAAGACCATTTTAAAGACATTTTTGTTTTAAAAGCAAGGTTTCCCTAATATTGAGTTTAAACCTTGTTCAAGCATTTTTCCACTTCACGAATTGTTTTCTACCAGATGAGGTTTTAAGAAAATATTTAGGATAACATTTATAAGATAGTTTTTGCTAATTTTACATTATTATTATGACATCAGATCAAATTTGTGTTACTTAAATCTAGCCACACTTATTTTAAAAAATCTATTTTGCTTGATTCAGGTACCTTGGGCGTGATGACCTTAGGTTCATGTGTGGCTGCTCCTATTCTATTGACAATGTGTGAGTGCAACTGAATTCCTCTGTAAGCAATGAGTACATCTTAAAATAGGTGAATTTACTAGAAAGGGGTGTCTTCAAACTTTTTGATATATAGATTCATTACAGAATGATTCACAGCAGATACTGAACAATAAGCCTATGCATTATCAGTTTGGACATGTTTGCTTATTCAAAAGAATAAAAAAAAAACTATGCCTTTTTTGACTTTGTTAGATCATGTGTTTTACATATCAAAAAAGTGCAACAAAAGAACTAAGAAATCACATTATTAATGTAGAAAACCAGATTGAATGGCAGAAACAGACAGTTCTTTGCATCTGCCTTAAGGGTGAAGGGGTTAAAGACATTATGGAAGCTTCTACTGTTTCAAGATGATCTCCTCACTCACGTAGAGAAGGCGTTGTTCTGCCGCTCACAGCGGATCCCTTTGCAGTGGTTGGGCTCATCGGCTGCCTCAGTCTCATAGTAGAAGTACAGTTGATTGAGGCCATTGGCGAAGGCCAGCAGCACCAGGCAGTAGATAAAGAGAAACTTAAGGATATCCAGAAGCATGCGACCCAGTGAGATCTGCAGAGGGCCCAGGTGCGAGTTGGCTGTGAAGAGTGAAATGAGCCGAAGGGAACTGAAGATGTTGGCAATGGCAAACAGTGCCTCAGCAATCAGCGTAGGGTGCCACATCTCCCACTCCTCACGAGGACGGGAGCTGTTGTACTGTCAGAGTACCAGGAGGAGAGAGGAAAATGTGATAAAACTGCAGACTTCGGAGAGCACATAAAGTAGGCAACGAGGTATCTAAGAGGAAGTGCTATAACTTTAGATTGAAACCCCTCAGGTAACCTAGTCTTTGTCAGAGAAACTTACTTTAATATAGGCAACCATTTTCAGGGATATGGTGGCTAGGTAGAGAGAGTTCATGGCAAAGTCCATCAGGTTCCACCAGTCATGGACATACTCAGTAAAGCCTCCATCCCACATCTCTTTGATCTCAGCCCAAATGAAGCCTGCAAAATCAGAGCAAGGATTCCACCATGAAATGGTGTTCAGGCATATCGACATGAAAGAAATGAATAAAAAATATGGATAATACGCAAACTTGAAGACAGCTCTTTGGAAAGTTATGTTTACAGACTTTTACCTGAAGATTTTACCTGGCATCCAGAAATAATGGGAGTTCTGATAACATGCCAAAAGCCTACACTTGAATCTACTTCTGCGTCACCAAGGAACTCAGTGAACCTCAAAACACTGTGGCTGAGCTTTGATTACATCAGTTTATTCTGATATGGAGCATTTGTCTTCAAACTAATAAATTATGATATCAATAATTCATGAGTGAGTATTTGCTTAATCATAGTGATAAAGCCTTGGCAGTCTATTTCCTGTGCATAGAGTCTGGCTTTATTGCTGGAGAAATGTGATGCTCCATCATTTGAACTGTAGTAAATGAACACCAAACAGTCACTCACATATTCCATCTGGCTTGACACAGACACACCTAAGCAAACCGATGGACATGCTTACCAAGTACCCAAGGTAAGATCATCCATTCCACGACGGTGGGAGGTGGCCCTTGAACATGCAGGTCAGTTCGTACTATGTGCTGTGAGGCCAAGAGCAATAGGAAGAGGAAGGTCAGGTATGAGGCAGTGTGACAGATAAATTTGATAAAGGGTTTCTTGATGAAGAGGCCCAGTGTGCTCTTTGGGGCCAGCAGGTAGATGATGGAGAAGACGGGAAACAGCAGGCCTATGGTGAAGCAGGTCACCAGCTTCACCACCCAGTGACGTCGCCTCCAACCTGGGAAACCATCATACCACAACGTGGCTAAGAGCTGCTGGCAGTTGGGCTGAGCCACAAACTGTATTTGAAAAAGACAGGAAGATTAGTTAATACTATTACAATGTATACAGAAAATGTGAAATTAGCATCCATAGCTAAGTACTGAAACATGTTGAAGGTAAGGTAGACCACTGTTTTGCCTACCATAACACTGGCCAGACTGGGAAAACTCCCGTGCCATGTGATCCGGATGACATTTGCAGGTTTGAATCGGAATCGGAATTCCTGCACAGTTTAGTCTTTGTCTTACAGAAGACCTGATTCAACTCATCAGCTAATTACCAGGTTTAGTTGGAGTGCTAGAGTAGGGAAATCACTAAACATACTAAGGCTTATTAACTACAGTAACTACAGGGACCTCAACGCAGAGCTGTTCTTTACAGAAGTTTACAGAAGTATGTAATAAAACTTTGGGCCAGTGGGTGGGTCCTGGCCATTTAAGGGGTTAGGAAATTATTAAAACTATTTTTATACATTTTCATGGAAATATATACAAATTATTCTTTGTCCTAGAATGAACTGTGAAGCATTCAATCACATATGAATTCCTTTGCAATAAATTAACTGACTATAAATAAATTCATAATCACTAAATTGTACTTCTTGAAAATAAATGTACAGAAAATACAAAATTAGTGCACTCACATATATTCAATGAATTTTTAAAAAAAATTCTTTATGATGAAACTACTCCAGCCCAGCACGCATTTAATGATGCCATGTACACCCTGGTGGCTTTAAAGAGTAATCAACCTTGCTTGAAAATAATCTAGGGAAAATTTAGTAAAGTTGTAACAACAAGACAGTTGTAACATGTTAAATATATCCTTTGAGCTACAAGCTAAAAGTGCCATATGTGTACTGCACTTGCATGAATGACATTATGTAACACATCAGTATATTAGGCTTTTTTGAAATCAAGACAAATATGAAAGGCAACTGATTAGGTTTAACATTAGCATCACAACAAAAAAGAAAGCTTGTAGCGAATTTGTCTGAACCAAAACTTTAAGCAACTGCTGTTGGTAAAGGGTAACTAGCTTCATTAAGCAAACATTTCATAATCCTCTTGAAAACTCTGCTTAACCAGGTCATAATTCTTGCAATTCTTTTTCCCCACAGCAATTCTCTCAGTTTTAATTAGAGTGCTGGGTTTACACTGCAGAAAGTTATATCTTGGTGAGTGACATAGTCTGAAACCACATAATTTTGCTTGTTTTAAATACATATTTTTAAGAAATAAGCTTATAATGTCTTAAAATGAGTAGTGTTGACTAAATGCAAGTTTTTTGGTTTTATTTTATTTATTTTTTTTTCAGCATAGTATATGTCCTGTGGAACAACCCTTATCAGGTGAATACAATTGTAGTTTTGGCCTTTGTTATCATTGCCAGAAGTTACCGCTTTTGTGTTTGTCACTACTCATGTATTACATTTTGTGTGAATATGCACACAAAGCAAACTCATTTCCACTGAAGTGCACTGCAGAAAGCTGACCTCATTGAAAAGAGTATGGTGCAATACAATTGAGTGCAAATTTATGCTCTCAGTGCTCTATTTGTCCTTGCCAGGTTTTACTAGAATTCCATCACTCTCTTTATCATTCATTCAGATGACCATTTGGAATCACTGTATCAGTACAATGATCTGATCTGGACTTATGGCCTTTGGCCATAAGACATGTAAATACCTTTTGTAGAGCAGAAAAGCATTGTGCAGTACCACCCATTGAAAAGCGAAATGCGTGTGTGTGTGTTTGTGAGCGTGTTCAGATTAAAGGAAGCTAGAATAGTGCCTGTGGCACTAAACAGAGGAACATCTGAAAGTACAGCATTGAACTCTGAAATAAGTTGGATGATCTGTTTTAACCAGAATCATGCCTTGAGGTGTTTTGTACACTCTTTGTAAACAGCAAAAGACCACCTCTTTCATCAAGTTCTTGTGTCTTATGCCTGAATGAAATACACATCTCATTTATTCAGCCCCTTTTCATATTCATTTTGTACAGGTTGTTTCTTTCATATCATTTTTGAATATGTCTGGACTGACATTTTGTGGTTTAGGAAATATAGAAGTATAACTGTGATAGTGCAATGGTAAAGACAAGCTCTAAATGTTACTACCCATGAAGGTGCTTGAAACCACATCACCCAGACCACTAAAGCAAAACATGTCTTTTGTCAACTTTATAGCATTTTTTTTTCAAATATTAGATGCTTGAAAGGCAGAAAGGTCATTCTACACTTCAGATGCAGTGCTTCCACAGTCATAAACTATGTAAAATTAAGTTTTAGCTCTGTTGTAACAAGTATTTGGGATTCTGAGAGCAGAAATATAAAACCTGTAGTGTTGGTTTATTCATAAGGTAAACACAGTTTAGAGAACTATTACAGAAACCACACTCTATGTATTTCAGCATTCTCATAATGCTGCAAATGCCAGCAAAATGGTTCCCTTTATGTTGTACATTTTTGTTTTGTTACTCAGCTTTCACTGTATTTCATCAGCCACTAACAATCATTTAGAAACTTCTCTGCTTTACTCTGATGTCTCAGACATTCCTTTTTTTGCAAAATTTGTCTTAGGGTTTTGTCTATTTAAAAGAGACTGTTCTGTTCTCATAAAGATGTCAGAAAAATTCCACACACTATGCTTACCTCCTTCTGGTGGTACTTAATAGCCAGCTTGAGCTTGGCCAGGTCTCTGCACTCACGGGGGTCCAGCTCCTCACTGTGGTCATCGCGATGGTTGAGGATAATCTCCAGTTCACGTGAGCTGCGTGCCTGGTCCAGCAGGTCCTTGGCAAAGAGCTTGCACTGCTGCGAAAGCTCCTCATACTCCTGCCGGAACTCATTCTCCACTTTACTGAGTTCCTTCAGCTCCCAGCCCAGCCTAAATGCTGTAAGGATGGGGTCCTCGCTGGACAAAGCGATGAGTGAGGGGCTAGCCAGGGTTTTGTAGATGTTGAGCCGAGAGCGAGAGTGCCTCAAGCTGTCTACTTCTGAACTGGACACGCATTCCACACAGTCACACCGGATCTGGTGCGGTCGGGGGATGGTCACCTTGCGCTGTACTAGGAGCTTGATGATTTCATAGTTGTTGGTGTGGGCAGCCAGCATGATTGGTGTGATGTCAGGAGTAAACTCCGAAAACTGTGTGTCCATCATCAGAGCAGGCACCTAATAATGAGAAAAGGACAAGGCTTTAAACCTCTGAGAATGTTACTTTATTCACACATATAGCAGAAATGCTGAAATATCTGCAAAGTGGTCTCTATGCTCAAATATATGTCTATATCCATGGATATTCTCTGTGCCGTTCCTCTTCAGCTTGGAATTACAGACTGATAAAAAAGCACTCTTCATGAAACTAGATTTGCCACAGCTCAAATCAAGAGACAGAGTTGACTGTTTGAAATAAATGTTTTTAATATTGTAAAATCAATTTGGTTGCAGTGGATAAAATAATTCTAATGCGCTAGTTTTGTGGAACTTAACAGATTTAAATAATTTATACAAACCTGTTTAAAAATGTAAGAAAATTGAAATGTGTCCAGAATGAAGAACAGAGCAAAGGTAATTCAAAAATCACTGAGAAGGTTGTATAACACTGACGTCTCAAGTCTCAAGGCAGATAATGTGACACATAATTAGATTAATAATAATTACAGATTTTTTATCCTTTAATAACTTTAAATGTTCCCAAAATATCTAAATAAAACATCTAAAAGTACAACATATGTCCAAAAGTATCCAGAAACCCCTTCTGATTTTAACTGAGACAGACATATAATCAGTGTGGACACAATTTATAATTTCCATATAAAAGCATTGTCAATGAAATGGTATGCTTTGGAAGCAGATCCACATGAGTATATCATCACTTTAACCAGTGCCAGTGTCAGGTAGAGTGATATAAACCTACCCAGCTTTAGGCTGTGGAGCACTGGAAGTGTTTTTTTCTGAAGTGATGTAATACCATCAAATACACTGGGACGAGCAGGAGTGTTGTTTGTGATCCAGAACTAATCATCCAACCTCATTACCTAACCTTACTAACACAGAATGCAATCAAATCCTTGCAGCAATGTCCCTCGCAGCAACATCTGTTATAAAGTCTTCCCAGAAGAGTATAGAGGCTGTTACTGCAGCAAAGGGGGACAAACTCCCCAAATGCCCATGATTTTGGGAGAAACGTTGGTTGAGCAGGTGTCCACGAACCTTTGGATATACAGTGTCCCCTTTGGTGTCTAATGTTTACACCTACATTGTATGATTGTATAATAGTAGGTAAGTAGGTAAGGTGCAAATGAAAACAGAGAGCAGTGATGTGTAAATCTACTATGACCTGTATTTGAACTAAACTGATCTTGAACTGACAAGGTATGTATTATTTTACCTTATCAACTTCATTGTTTTTGTAAATACATGTATATTCTGAAATTAATGCCTGCAACATGTTCCAAAAAAGTTGGGACAAGTGCAAATTAAGACTAGGAAGATTGTGAAATGTTCAAAAGCATCCCATTTCATTTCATTTCAAAACTAGAGCTGGTGTTGTTAAAAGGAAAGGTGATGTAACACAGTGGTAAACATACTCTGGTGCCAACATTTTTTTAATGTGTTGCAGGCATCAAATTTGGAATGAGCATATTGTTGCTGTTCAAAGAAAAATGGCAAGTTATATGTTTACAAAAAACAATGACGTTTATAAGGTATTATTAAGTGCCATCATACATCATTTCTGACTCTTGGCACCCATATGTAGTGTTTTTCCAGAATATTGTATAATCTGTTTGGGTTTTTAGACCTCTGAATGGCTGGCTCATAATTCCTCTGATCGTAACTATCCTTCTTGTTGCTGGCCATCCTCTTCTTTTACCTTTAATTATTCCAACCACAATAGCCTTTTCTATGATTGTCTCTTGTCAGAATATGCCCCAAATAAAATTGGTTCTCTTCAGTTTGGTTCTCTGAGCTTTGAGTGAGAGGTGTGGCTTGATTTGTCTGAGGATACATCTGTTTGTTTTCTTTGCCACCCATGGAACTTTGAAAATCAAATATTGTGTTTTTGTTTTAATGCAGGTCAAACAGAATTTATTAATCACTGCTTTCTGTTTTTATTGGCATTTCACATACTGTCTCAACTTTTTTGGAACTGGGTTTGTTTATAAAATAACAGAAATTATTAGTATGAGTGATAAGTTCAAATATTTGAATGGTAGCATGTACTGGATGTTTTGACAACAGCATTTTGCTAACAGCATCAATTTAAATTATTCAGACTCATTCATACAATAACACATATGAATATTAGCTTTTTTTAAATGCACTTCAACATTCAATACCAAAGTCTTGTGCAGGACTTTGATTTCTGAATACTTTGAGAAAGCGTATAGTGGATGCCATTTTACAGTGACTTCAAAGGCTACTTTATGACATTCGCCCTGATCTCTGAGCCTTTCGCTTCACTTTAAAGAACCTTGCAAATGAATTTCAGGACTTCTGCCAGAAGCACCACCATGCATAACAATAATGGTGGAAAAAAAAGGCATTGAAAAAAAACCTGAGAAGGAAAGGCAAGCAAATTGATTTGAAGAGTCTCAAAGAGTACTGTCCAGTGTTCCACTTTCACAGTAGGGAAAATGTTATACTAGATGAGTTTTTTGAGGGCGGAGGAGCCTTCTGATATTGAACCCCTTTACAGTTTTTCATTTTCCTTCTGCTGCACCTTCGTACTGTCAGCATTATGGATATGGGCTCAACTAGAAGGCCGGTCAGCTTTGCTGGTGAGCGCCTGCCTCATCATGTCTAAGGCTTGATCCTTTCTACTGCATAGCTGCAATAGAACAGATGGCATCACTATTCATCATTTGTACACTGACACATGCTGTTACTCGCCTGCTTCTCACCGCTGGGTTTCCTGTAGGACAGCAGTAACTCCACTGCTCCCACCACCTCCTTGCGGATAGCGTAAAGCAGTGCGTCGCCCACATGGACGCCGTGACTCAGCAGCAACTCCATCACCTCCAGGTTCTCGTTCTCAATGGCAATGAGGAGCGCACTGCGCCCCAAGGGGTCAAGGCAGTTGATGTTGATGTTGTAGTAGATCTCGGCCTCTTGAAGGGCCATCTTGACCCCGGCATAGTCGCCTTTCTCCACTGCGGTCAGGTAGGCCCGCTCCTCAGCCGACAACTCGGCCTCTGCCCGCACAATCTGCAGTGGGATGCGGTCACGGTAAGGCGAGTAGCTCGCCTTCTTGTAGTACAGCTGGGCCATGGGGTTCATGAGGACTCACTGACACTGGCTTATACAAGGTTACAGCAAGCTAGGAAGAGGTTAAATGAAGACAGCGTTAGATTTCAAGAGCATGTCTGAAAAGGAAAGAAGGATTGGTAACACTTTACTTGAACCCTGCAAAATAATACTGACATAACCATGCCATAAACATAAAATGGCAGATATGATATGCTGTCATGAGTTGTCAGGACCCATTTTCTTCAGTAATTTAACAGCATCATGTTACCATTACTAATAATTGTCATGACAGATGTCATAATGTTTGATGACAACTGAGTACATTTATCAAACATTATAGCATCAGTCAGGGCAATTACCAGTAATGGTAACATGACACTGTTATACTAAGAAACAAAATATGACAACTCATGCTATGTGCCATAACATATACGCAGAGTGGTTCAAGTAAAATGTTACCCAAAGATTTGACAATGAATTTTAACCGCAGTTTGTATGCTAAATAAATGGATGTTTCTGAAGTTGTTTCATTGACAACCCAATACTAAATCAAGCCCTTGCAGAATGACTAGCATGTCTCAAAAACAAGCCATGGACATTCATTTCACATATACGTATCACACTGATCTTCAAATCTCAACATAAAAAAATGGACTGTTGTCTGGATCTGTACTCATATGAGTCTGAGAGGAAATGCCTCTATTGTTCAACTCACTTTCACACTTCTTCAGCCTTCCCTGTTTGATGCCTCCACCCAGAAGGCTAAATTAAACGGACGGACAAACGTTTGAAGGAGCTCTGTGTTTGATCCCGGTAAGCGTGCTGGCCCCCTCTCTTTCTCCCCCTCTAAGAAACTGACAGAAGAATGAAAGGGCACACTGGGCAACGGATCTATGAGGCCATCTTGCCTCCTGCTTCATTGTTGTATCATGTGGAGGGACTCCACGTATTCCTCCATGGGGCTCTTCCTGTCTCTAGAGTTCAGCTTGTAGTGACCTCAGGAAGCCCATCCATATTCATGATGCATGCCTGACTTCAAATAGATGCCTGGGGAGGGGTGCTCCACCACACCCCGACCATGTGCTCTGCTCCTACCTGGGGACATGGAACTGAGTGCAGAAAGATGGCAGAGATGGTTGGCTGGGGCTGGGCTGTCAAACTGACATACAGAAGAAGTTTTTCTGCAAGAACAAGTATTGTTTTTGTTGGAGGACTGTCCTCCAGAGGTGAGGAAAATCTGTGTGATGCACTTTTAAACGGTTTAATTTTTTTAAAATAACAAAACCCTTGCTGATGAAGCTCTCCCTCTTCTTCTCTGGTTACTGACTGTTCTCTTAAGAGAAGGTTGGCCTTCAGTCTGATCACGTGATGCAGTCCCTCCTCTGAGCAGTGATTATAAACAATCACAACAAACACAGCCACAGCACAGCAGAAGGAGGAGCAAACAGACCATCAAAATGGTGAAAACTCATGCCACACTCAGGTCAAACTAAACCTACAAACTGTAAACCTACAACACACAAAGTAAGAAAAGCTATCTGAATGTCTGTTACAAGCTCCATTTGTCAAAAGTCTATTAGCCGTTAGCTTGATGCTAACACATCATAGAGAACCTCATATTTGTGCTAGTATAAATTAGCATTACTGTTGTGGGTGTTTTTTTTTAATATAAATAAAAGCAACTAAGAACACAAAAGATTCCATATCATGCATGACATGTTCATGATGATTATATGAAGAACCACATAATATGATATTTAACAGTGTTACAGATACTAGTAGTTTTTTTCATGCTTTATTTTAAGCTGGAGCAGCTTAATAGCTCTTGGAAAAGGTCTCAGTGTTATATGGCAGGGTTCTTAAGTTTAGCCCTCAGTGCTGAGAGTCTTTAATGATAATGATACACAGTGAGCATCATTATGTGTTTTTCTATTTTTTTATTTTTAATCATTATTTTATTGGAAATATTGCACACATATACTGCTATTTATGACCTTTATAACATAATTTTAAAGATATAGTTTAAAAAACAACAACAGTTATAATATCACGAAAGTTCTCCAGCTCCCCCCGCAAACCAGAAGGATAAGCGGCTTAGAAGCTGTGTGTGTTTGTGTGTGTGATTTAAGCAATTGTTGTGATTATGTTTTCTGGCACATGCCTAATTAGTATATATAGATGCTGTGCTTAGCAGAGAACATTTAGTCTTTTTTTAAATTACACAACTACATAGTCTAAAAGGACCTTATTTGTCTTTTCTGCCTTTTTCCATGGCAGTTTTAATATATATAATTTTAGCTGGAATAATTAACCTTCTAAAGTCATGGTTATATTAATCCATGAACATGCTGCAGTTCTAATTCTGCCATTCTGTTTATTTTCCTTCACATCCATTTGAAGCATTAGAGAGAGAGCAATCAAGACTGTGTTCAATAGCATTTACATAAATGATTCACAACAATCAAAACCAATCTACCAAACCAAGTACGCAGTAGAGTTTATACTGAATGCTCTGTTCAATAATTATTCTGTATATTCTATACTTTTCTATGTTCAGTAAAGTAATACAAAGAAACATGTTCCATATATATAACAGAATTACTGTGAGATAGTATTAGCCTTATTGCATTTTCCTAACTGAATCACCCCTCCCCTAACACTCCTGTGTCAATGCCTCATGTCCGAATGCAAGAAACACACTGGTATAAATCAAATTTTGTTGCTTGGCTTACATGAACAGATCAGTGCATCAGGTTTACCACTAAGGAGCTGTGCTGAGTTCTTGAGTGTTCAAATTAAAAAAAAAAAAGTCAAGGCTGAAGGATCTACATTTTGTCTTCTTCTACTGTTCTTGAATGCTATGACGCTTTCAAGGAAACCCATTTTTCCAGTCATTGGTTCTCATTAATTGAACATGCTCACAAGGGATATTAGATTAACACACATGCATGAAACCTAACAAGAAACAGGACATCATTTGAATTTCCCTTTTTAGAGAATTGAATTTCCCTCTTTAGAGAATATACATACAAGCAAGGCTCATTTCCTTTAAAAGTACTCAAGACCACTATTTAGTTAATCAACCAGATCTAATTCGCTTATACAACTGCAGACAGTGTCTCTTTACTGTTACTCTTGCCTTCTCTGCATCCTCCAGACACATTTACAAGACTGATATTGTACTGGAAATACATGGTTGTCTGCACCAACAGGCCCAAGTTTTAACTTATAACATTTAACTAAAAAAACATCAAGGTTACATGGTTTGTGATGCACATTCATATGTATTCTGATGACCTAACTGTAACTTGACCAGAACTCTGATATTAGCCTAATAAAAATGCCTACTACACCCATAAACTTGAACATTTAAGCTAGATCCACAGCTATGTCAAAACAGCTATATCAAAAATCGTACTGCTACTGGCAGATAACCGCTGATGTACAGTCATGTGCAAAAAAATAACGTTTAGACACTCCCGGTCAAATAAAATTTTCACACATTTTGTTGATTTTATAAGTGAAATGAAACAAATACATCTTCTACAGAGAACATGCTTCTGTACATAATAATGCACAATTACTGTTTATTTGCTTTGTTTATATAATTTGTTCACATAATTTGTTTATATAATTTGACAAAAAAATACAACATACAATGTGGCCTATGGAAAAGTTACATTTTATATTTTGAAATATGTTAAACTAGCAAATGAATAGAAATTGTGCACTAAAATTAGCTTAAAATGGGCATATTTAACACATCTGTAGAGGACTTGTTAACTTTTCACTTAAAAATCAACAAAACATTTAATTTGACCAAGAGTGTTCAAACTTTTGCATACGACTGTATTTATTTTACTCTGGAAGAGCATAACATTTAGGTGACACTGTACACATCTGTACTTCTAAAATATGTATAAATGCATCTCTGAAACCAAAGGTTAGAGCTCCAGTCAAGCTTCTAAAATGTAATTAGAAATCCATCCAGTCTTATGGATAATATGGGCACAATACAAAGCTATCTATCAGATTATTCCCCTCCTGTTTAGCGTAATAAAGCAATAGTTTTCAGACTGGTCCTCAAGTACCCCAGACGGTCTACATTCTTGCTAAACCCCTATGTGTTATGAATTGGGTTGGAGCAAAATTGTGCACTGTATGGGGTCCCTGAAGAACCATGGTAGTTAAAGGACTCGGCTGCTTAGGTTAATCCGTGTATGGCCCCTTAACTTCAATACAATACGTACAATTTCAAGATTGTTTTAGTTGTAGGGCTGTGATGATTATGAAATTTTAGCTGACAGTTAACTGCTCCATAAATAACTGTGATGAATAATTGAATTTTCTTTTTGCAACTATTAAAGTAGAAGCCTAAAGTAGCCTCTGTGATGGACATACTTTGAGCTCCAATTAACCTACATTCCTGATTGCTGCCTTCTATAGATGTTATAGCACCAAGATGGAAGTTATACGTTTAGTTGTTTTCATAAGAGCCTTGACGTGTCTCAATAAAAGTGTTTTTACTTTCTTTTATTTACATGTATTTGCTGCAACCCAACTGATAAACCCAAAACCAATTCACATTCTGTTTGTTTCAACATAAACATATGATTGTGGAATCTAACAACTGTGAAACTAATTGAGATCAGCTCACATAATTGCGTTCAGCTGATTATGCAATAATTGTGACAGGCCTATTCAGTTGATGGTTATGGCCTGATATAAACCAATAATGTCCTGCCATTGAATCACTTTCAAAATGGATTTGATTGACTTTAATATCCGCATTCAAAATGTAACCCTTTTTTCCTCTCAGTAAAACAAATACTGCCACTGGAAGCACGATTCAGTGTTTAACTGCTCTTGGCTTGGCTCTGTGCTGGAGCGTGCCAAATGTCAAACAGCCCAGTTTTACTGTGACCTTCTGTCAATGGTATCACCATAAACTTTTATTTGATACTGTGTTGTTTGACAAATCGGTGTTAGTTTGAGTTTCAGAATTTAATTATGTAAGAATGATCAGTGAAACTGTTAACAGCAGCGCATTAGTGTGTTTCCTCTGTTGTC